CTTATTAATTTCATGTTTAAGTATGTAAGTAGTAGAATTTAATGACAAAAAATATATATATGTTTTACTTGTAATATTAAAAACCGATTGTGATCCAAGTCGACTCCATGAGACCTGAGAATCTTGGCAATTTCTTTGAATTGTACTTTCTTCTTATTAACTCATAATACGATGAATTGTCTTTAAAGCGGTCCTAGATATGACAAATTCCTGTCTGGAACAACTTCATAATCTCCTCCAAGCCCCTTAAAAAATAATTTAAATAAAAATAATTTTATAACTTTATCAACAGCATTACTATATTTGTATACTTTAAAAAATTGTGTCTTACTTTGTCAATAATTTTTGAAAATGTATAGAAACAGTACAACTATTCAGATTTAAATACTCGTTGGAATTGTGTATTAACACAGAGATCTTCTTCGATCTGATTTTGCTGGCACGATAGCCAAACACAAACAACATAGAATCTATTACATTGCTCTTGCCGCTACCATTAGGACCCACTATTGCTGAGAAGCTCTGTGAAAGAAAACTAGCTTAAACACCACATTAAATAAACAAGTATGCATACGTAACATTGAAATTTACCTTGTGAAAAGGACCGATAGTAGTCCTGCCAGCATAGCTCTTGAAATTCTCATTGACGATCTGAGTTATCATAAGTCTTGGACCAGTTGTATCAACCTCGCTGAAAGTTCTCAGTGGTGGTGGGATGTATATCTCGTCATCGACTCTTAAACCATCCTCCTCGTCGTATTCTGCGTTGTATTCGTCAACTTCCATATTGTCGTTAGAGGTGTTCATCCTGTCCTGCGAGTTGTTGACCATCCTGAAATACGTTTTCAGCCATAATTCTTACTTTGCAATTCGAGGTTAGCTGGTCAATAATATCGTCCATGAGGATGGTTTAATCGTCAAGTCGACCTGACTGATTTAAGCATAGAGATATTCTTATTTTCCTTCTTCTTAGAGATTAATTAGTACTAGGTAGCTAGAATATTTCACTCATAAAACAGTTGAAATAGATGAAAAACAGGTTAACCACATTCTTGATTTACACTGAAAAATATAGGTAAAATAAAAGATTTTAACTAATAAATGTATACCTAATTTGTGTCGTGCGTTACAATAACTCCAAATAAAGAGAGTAATCGCCGAATAAATGATAAACATTAATCACACTGGATTACTATATTTTTCAATGCCCGCCATTTATGTCAACAGGGGAAGCGTCGCGAATTCAAAATCCTGCTCAAATAACGAATCATCCGAGTTATTAATTTCGAATTACGCGATAATTTTAGATCAATCTGAAGATTCGATTACGTTCAGAATTTTTATCGCTGTAGAACTGTCACTTTTAGGATTTTCCTGGTCTTTCCGCGACGATGTAAAAAATAATTCACGCAAATCGAGCTTAGAAAGACGTTGAATGCGAATTGAACGTTCAAAATGGCCGCAAAATAAACGGGTTGTGGATATAAAAAAAAAAATATATATATATATAAATGTACACTTCGAACTGATTTCGAACCTCTCTCTTTATTGAGCGAGATCTTTTAGAATTTTACTAAGTATGTGATTTTTGGAAAAATCGACGATTATTATTAATCTTCGTGTTCTTCTCCTTCTTATATTTCGCGTCGTTGAAAACGAAGCTTGTCTAACTTGCATCGCACTACGACTGAAGTGAGCGCAATTGGGTTGTCATAATCGTATGACTCCGTGGCGCAACGGTAGCGCGTCTGACTCCAGATCAGAAGGTTGCGTGTTCAAATCACGTCGGGGTCAAATTACTTTTTTTTTTTTATATACTTACTATCTATGTTATTGTTTTTCTTAATTTTTGAATAAATTGTAAAAAATAATTTTTTAATGTCAAATTTAACTATAAATTTACTTCTTGAGCTTGCACTTTTTCGTGCACTTTCTGCACATAAAACGAACATATGTACACGAAATGCATCCTCGTTTTAATATATGAAAAGCAATCAGAAGCATATAAATGCGCGTTGAATTTAATTCCACAATATGAAAGCATAAGTGAAAATTTTACGTTGAAAGTTAGTGAAATTGATAATTACAGATTTGTTTTGGCGTGTAAATAAAGAAAGGAAATTAGTGTGTTAGGTGCATTCACACTCTCAATTTTTCTATATTCTTAGATGTTTTATTCTAGTTGGAACAAATTATAGCTTCAATATATATTTAAAAAAAATAAAATAAAGCTTCTAAAGTATTAATCTTAACCTTAAAGTATCGTCAAAAATATCGATACATACCTATTTACACAAGGTATGCTTTATCTGGTTTGAATATATATTTATCACATACATATTTTCATTCGTTTATTTAGAATTATACTTTATCATTTCTAATTATTTGTTAATTCTAATTTATTATTTCTTCATATAATTATAATAATAATAATATCAGCACGTAAATTTTGTATACAAAAGTGATTTAGGATTAGGAAGTCAAATAGGTTAGAAGAAAGTTTAAAGAACATTTAAAAAAATATTTAATTATAATTTAAAAAATCAATGAAAAACACCTTGCCATTTATTTAGATCTTTTAAATAACTTGTGTGTGTGTTGTGTGTATATTATATATATATATATATATTTAAATAAGATTTTTTGAATTCTTTTACAGTCTTAATTAATTTCAATTTTTCAGATTATACTGAGTTCAATGCAGTGAATGCTTCAAAAATAATAAATTTATTAAATATATAAAATTAGCATCAAAATTCTCTGTCATCTGAAAACATACGATATGAAAGTGTAAGTTGTCCTTATATTCGTTAAATCTCTTTATTTCATCTCAAAAATATTATTTATATGTTTTAGTATAAAAGGAAATTGGAATACTCTTTTGAGCAATTACGAGGTTCTGGATATCTTGCGGAACACAAAGTCTTATAAACAGAAACCATCAAATCAATTGGCGACTGTTACTTATCAGACAATCAAGTATTTGGAAACCATGCCGTGCAAGACGCAAAGTCCAGAAAAATCAAGGAATTTTTAATAGCAATGGAGCCTATCAAATTGACTAAAGCTGAAAAGCTTGCTCTTCTCAATCTTTGTCCTACTAGACCAATCGAAATACAATTGGTATGGTATCTTTTTTTAAGTTGCAAGTTTGAGTTTGATTAACAATTGAATATTTTGGAATAATTTTTTTGTATCTTTAAACACAGTTAGTAGAAGAAAGCGAGGAACGTCTAACAGAAGAGGAAGTTGAAACTGTGTTGCAGATAGTTGCAAATGTGCGTGGAGATTATGAATATAAAGAAGAAGAGACTTAATCTAGATCTTAACATAACTCTTATTTAAATATATTTTATATGTACATTTTATTTTATAATAAAACATGACTGGAAATAGTATATTAAATACAATTGTGCGTACATAGTATCTGTAGCCTTATCTCTTTTGATCTCCAAGATCATCTATAGAATCTTCATCAATCTAAAGAAAATAATAAAATATTCCATTTAAAAATTTTGTATTTAATATATATTTTTTTTCCAAACTTACTTGTGGCCATTTGTCTGGTATGACTTCGAAGAGATCATCCTTGACATCTCCTTGTATGACAATTTCATCATCTCCGGTCACACTGGACCCACAAGCAAATTTACTGCCAAAGAACTTTGCTGCTACCTTCAAATCTATATCTGTAAATTAAATAAAAATATTTTTGATTATAAACGATTCATTCATTCATCTTTTATTCATAATTAGAATTAATCAATTAATGGTATTACCAAAAGTGCTGAGGCCAGTTACAACTGTGACAGATTTCTTCTTTCCTCTAGGTGCTCTAGAAACTGTTATTAATCGTGGTATGTCTTCCTTCTTTTTAGTTTTCAACATACCCTTGCCACCTCGCTTTTGTCGCTTTTTCTCGTCCTCTCCTCCACCAGCTTCCGTGGAACCATCCTCTGTAGCTGATCAAAGCATAATTCTTCAGTTAAATAAGTTCAAAATTGATTAAAAAATATTTGTCAGTGTTCTAATTACCTAATTTCATTCTCTCAAATTCAGTAGGTAGATTCCTCTCCAACCATTGCTTGCACTTATCGTACTCAGGATAATATTCGCAATACTGTAAATCAATGATTCAATATTAATCATTATTATTAACTTTCAATATCAATTTCTCTTTTTTTTATAAAATATGTGTATCTCCATTGAACGTAAAATCTCAGCTTTAAAGACTAAATAATTTTTTTCGTGACTTTTTTAATAAGAGTTCTAAAGCTCAGTTACAATTAATTTTAATTATTAACCAGTATATGTATATTTTCGTTTGTCGTGCATACTAATTAATATCGAAAATTGTTTGTAACTTACCTCGATAGGTAGCGAGCAATTTCCGCAATATTGGACCTGAATCGGATAAGTAACATTCGGATCGGGTCCTAATCGAAATTCCGGTTGTTCTTCCGCTAACATTCTTGCGAAATCGAATCTCAGATCACGACTGAATCAGGATAGAATTCCACCAGGAATGGCTAATGAATTTTTTGTCGTATCCTGGAAACGCGATTTCACTAATTTTATAATACTGTCAACTACTATCGAATATGTCGCACTGCGCGCGTTTTAAGGTTAAAGAACCTCCAAGAAGATTAGCAACGATTGCGACGAGCAACTTTCAAAGCTTCTGAAGTCCATAGATAATAAAGTAACATAGATAGCGATATTTCATCTAAGTTTCTATCGATCCACAATAATTTCCTCCAAAAATAATTTGATAATATTATTTAGAATAACTATAATTAAATAATACCAATAAAAATAAATTATAAATAAATTAAATCAATTACAATTACATATTTTTAATTAGATAATTATTTGGAATGAGTAAAAAAGTATACAAATTTCCCATGGTAATATAGATAGCGATATTTCATCTTGTTTCTATCGATCCACAATAATTTCCTTCAAAAATAATTTGATAATATTATTTAGAATAACTATAATTAAATAATACCAATAAAAATAAATTATAAATCAATTAAATCAATTACAATTACATATTTTTAATTAGATAATTATTTGGAATGAGTAAAAAAGTATACAAATTTCCCATTGGTAATATAAATAGCGATATTTCATCTTGCTTCTATCGATCCACAATAATTTCCTTCAAAATAATTTGATAATATTATTTAGAATAACTATAATTAAATAATACCAATAAAAATAAATTATAAATAAATTAAATCAATTACAATTACATATTTTTAATTAGATAATTATTTAGAATGAGTAAAAAAGTATACAAATTTCCCATTGGTTACGCCATGTTGTTGCCCCTTCGATATATCGATCGGATCTCGATTTCACGATGTTCACTCTCTATATAAATGACACTTATCCATGCTCGAGCCTGAAGCACCAATCCTCCCTAGAGCGGCACGTGGGTGGCCGGGGGCGGCGGACCAATCAGCGCTTGGCGCGGCGGGCCAATCGCAGGCACGCCGCAGGCCTTGTACCCTGTTCGAAACACACGTGCGGACCGCGCGCGCTCGAGTAGTGCGTCGCCCGTGAAAAAGTCGGACGTCGTCGTCGTTCTCCGTCTCGGTCGGCACCGAACGGACGATTCAAAAGGGTGTGCGTGCGCGCGCGATCGGATAAATCGGAACGAGGACGAGCGAAGGAGCGAAAGGACGTGCGAAGAAGAGGAGTCTCGCGTAAAACTGCGGAGGCAAAATCGGAAGACATATAATTGAAGAGGAAGGCTCGTGCACATCTATCTACACCCCGTCCTTAATTACATCGTTTTCTTCCTCCTCGTCCTCATCGATATCGTCGTCGTCGTCGTCGTCTAGATGGTCGCGGAAATGGCAGTCGGCGCGCAGATCGACACGTCCGAGAGGGACACCGGCAATTCAACGATCCCGTTGCTGAATGGCGAGCAGGATCACGAGGCTGCGAAAACGACCGGTTAGTATCGGCGACGTGCATCCTCGATGCACGAGGCTGGCCGTGATGCTTTTTAAGGTTAATCGCGCGTGAGAAAAAAGTTCCTCTCCCGTTTTTCAATTCGCTCCCAGTTATGTAATCCCCGACGAGGACGACGTCGCGTCCCGTATCCTCGTCGACGACGTCGTCGACGAGGTTCTCTCTCATTTTCGTCCTTCGTCAGCTGCGTCGAGCGCAAAGCCGGCCTCGATCGAACGAGGGGGATGAAGGAGAAAGAGAGACAGATAGTGACATGAAGAGAGAGAGAGAGAGAACGAGAGCGCGAGGCGCGTTACGTAACCTCGCGAATTGCGCGAATCTCAACGCACGGGGTCATGTGAGTCGCCCATCGATGGTGGGAGAGGAAAAATGGGGGAGGGAGTAGGGTCTAGCAGAAGACGTGCGACGCGGCGCCAACGAACGAATCTTCTTCAGGGTTGCGCGCTCCGAGATTTACTCTCGGAGTAAACGCGTTTCATTGATTAATTGGGATAATCTTGGCTCGTTCTGTTTCATCGAGTAGATTTTCAAGTGCGACCAGTCATTCCAGTTCTCGTGAAAGCACGTCCTTCCTCCCTTCCACCCCTCTTTTCATCATCCGAATGGAATGTTGAACGTGTATGTTTATTCGGATTTCTATTTTGCTCCCATCTTTGATGAATTCGTGTAGCTGAAATAATTCCTCGCGATAACTTTTCTCGAAAGAGGTACTAATAGAAGGACAAACTTATACTCCAACTAATTTGTGAAAGTATTCAAATGTCGAAAAAAAAATGCTCATTAAGATGCAAGTGATAAACACTTTCGAATTGTCGAGTTATTCGCGGAATATTTTTCGAGAAGAAGCTCAGTGTGTTTATTTAAAATATTGTCGAAATTATTCGGCGAAGGATTCATCGAGATCTTCGACCTCGAGTCGCTTTACCTTTCCAAGATATTTCATATCCCAAGATAACTTTGGTAGATAAAATAATAGAAAATTATAGAATAGAATTTTTTGTTCTACATTTGTCATACAATTAATCTGTGTAATATAACAAAATAATATAATGTATAACATGTATAAATAATATAAATATATATATAAACAATATAATGTATAATATATAATAAGTATACATCGCCTTTAAAATTAATATAAATTTCTAAAAATTAACAAGAGATACTTGAAGTGAAAAATTTCAGGGATTTCCTTGTTTGTCAATTGGCAGTCAGGATCCCAAATAAAGCACATCACGCAGCGATCAGCGATAATTAAATGTCTAGATATAGAGAACATTCTTCAAGGTTTCTTCGGTCCTTTTAAGAAAGGGCTAATGGTTATCTACGGACTCGTTACTATGATTATCTACCTATGGTTCGTTGCGAGACGAAGATTAAACGCACGCACACACGTGCTCCGATCGCGTTTACGTAACACTTTATTTCCAATTATGCTCGTGTCGCAAATGCAAATTCAGATCAGGTTCTTTTTCTTAATCGATGTAAAAATGTCATTTGTGTAATGTCGATATTTTTAAAATAAATCTCGATTTTTAGGACGAAGAAGGCGACCATATGACGCAACATCGTCGTCTAAGATGATAATGTCTGCGATGCGAAATATCGACGTGAAATTTAACGTCGACGAATGTAACAAGTTTCGCAATCTGAGCATAATACTTCGGGATAAATGCAACGTTCTAGGATAAACAACGACGTATGTATGATGCAACATTAATACTTGCGAGTGACGTCAATCTACGGTCGAGACGAATAAAAGAATATTCTAATAAGAGGCCCAGCAGATGCTTCGGTTCAACGTAAGATCGGTCTTTGAAATGAACTAACCGATGTCCTTGAGTACAAAGTAATTCAACGACTCTCATCGATTTCATACGAGAGGGCAAATCATTTCTCTAATCTTTCTGTCGCTATTTGTTCTTCTTTTATTGATGCAACAGAAGGAGGAAACGAAATAACGGAACACGTGCTTCTTTTCTAAGGATTGACTTTGATTGATGGGGATGTGTATTTTCGAAAGGTATAGACTTTCTCTCCAAGGGATGTCTTTGCTCAACAAGATGTGGAACTGATGAAAAGCACGTGTTAATGATCGGCTCGAAAAAATTTATGGTTTGCGTTATTTTAAAATTTTAAATGCTTAAAAATCCAATATCTTTTATATATATACATATATGTATACATAAATATATAAATATATATTTTATATATATATATATATAAAATATATAAAATATAAATATATACTTATATATAATATATATTATATTTTTATATTAGACTTCTAATTATATGTAAATTGCACATTTGCTACTTTTTGCATATTCTACGAGAACATTAATAATGTGAACATATTACCATGTTTTCAATTAATTAACATTTTAGTATAATGCTTTTTGTAGATTAATGCTCTCTTAGAATTGCAAAAGTAACAAATAAGCAATTTGCATATAATCCAAAGTCTAGTAATACACTGCTGTTTGTGAAAATTGCAACACAATTAATATCATTATTTTTTCATGTGTTGCAATTTTCACAAACAGCAATATATATATTATATATACATATATAATAACGAAATTTTATAATATAAAAAATGTAAAAATTATAAAAGATTAAAAGTTGCACCAGAAAATCTGGAGCATTTGAAGAACTTGACTGGACGAAAATCAGTCTATCCATAATCAGTAAATCTTCAAGCTTAATAAAAAGCGAAAAAGAGAAAACCTTTGTCTCAGTGCATTCTCATTCATGTGTATCGAGGAAACAATTGTGATGTGGAATGACAATGAAGAAAGAAGGACCTATTGATAACAGGGGTTATCAGCGCCGGCTATTATGTACCGTTTTGCACGGTGTTCTACATCAAACAAACATCCCTTGATGACAATTGAGTCCAGCTAACTGGCGTCGATTGCAGTACGATTAAAACTCGTACTTTCACCTTTGAGCTCGCGTGTTTAAATCGATCCTCTTCACGTGTCTCCAACTCGTCGTGAACCCGCATAACTCTCGTACGGTAAACCCGTCGCTTGCACTCTATATTTAGCTGTAAATACTATATAGTCATTCTTCTATTGCATATCTATCTTCGAGGTTTCGTTAGTTACCTATTTTTCATATTTATTTTCCTTGACTCGAATTTTGAAAAGATCATATATAGTAAAACTGCAAATAATGTGAAAAACAAATTAATTAAATTGAATGTAAAATTAGAAGTCTTTTAAATTTCTATAATATATACATATAAGTTTTTAATTATCTATATCTTTATACTCTATTTAGCTGTAAATACTATATATAGTCATTCTTCTATTGCATATCTATCTTCGAGGCCTCGTTAGTTCATATCTACTTTTCATATCTATTTCCTAGCTCTTTGACTCGAATTTTGAAAAGATCATATATAGTAAAACTGTAAATAATGTGAAAAACAAGTTAATTAAATTAAATGTAAAATTAGAAGTCTTTTAAATTTCTATATACATATAAGTTTTTAATTATCTATATCTTTTTACAAAATATACGTTTTTCTTAATTTATTTTATATATTTAAAAAAGTCTTTAATTAAGTAATACATACAGATTTTTTAAGTTTTATTTTTAATATGAATATATATATATATATATAAATTCGGAAGAAAATTATCGGAGAAAAATTGATAAAATGGTCATCAAAAACATATCATCGTTTAAGGACGCGAATAATCGATCGCTTTCTCATTTTTTCCAGGGTCATTAGATGATACGATACCATATCGATGCGATCAGGAATCGTGTCGTGAATCAATCAAATTAATCTGCGATTTAATGGCGAAGAAAGAAAAGCGTGGCGATTCACGAGGATTGATAATTCTTCAACTGTGAACGTTTCATTAATGATATTAAAGTCATTTTCGCGCTACAGCGTGAATGAAATCGATGATGCCATTCATCAATTTGCTCCGCTTTAGCGACAGATGCATAAATATTGCGCTTATCAGTGATAATTGTTATTAATAATAACATCGTGCCGTATGGTCTCGCCTCATAGAGCTCGTTGATTTTTTAACTCACTCCATTTGTCAGTTATTGCGAACCGAGTTACCTTTCGTCTTATCTTAATAACTTTTTGTTGCGAGACTTTACTATATACGGTAACTAATAGCATAGATAAAAGTAATAACTTATTATTTTTTTAGTTATCGAAAAGCGTTCATGATGATATGCAAAATTTTCTGCGAAGTTAATTTTTTTTATTTAACAAGATAACATTTATTTGCAGTAAAATTATAGTTGTTATACTTTAAAAAATAGAAAGATTAATATATAAACGCGATTATAAATTTTCCTTCCAAGGAAGCATTATTTTAAAATGTGTGACATTTTTCTACGACACATTCTACATATGTTGTTATTTCAGAAATAGACTTCTCTGCGATGTACAATTATCGCGGTTTTCTCCCCGTATTTACAGACCTTTCTCACACTTATTTTGTGATAAGATGTCTTATCTGCATCCAATTACATACCCGCGTTGTAACAGGAGTACAATAATTCTACACAGAGTGACAGTGGAAGGGTATATCGATAACACGGTGATAAAACAGCCGAGTAAACTATGTATGTGTTACTGAAAAAAAACGTGAAAAAAATTACGCACAAATATTTAAAATCCTAAAATATTATCTTAGTATCAAAGATAATGCTAGTTGTGAGACTTATAAACACATTACATCATTAATTTATCATGTAATCTAAAATATTCTTAAACGCATAAAAAGAGTTAAATTTATACAATTTTTCATTCGTTTTTTAGTCGCAGTAAACATTTCTATTTCGAATTCTATTTAATTTTTAGCATTTAAATTATAGAACAGTTTTCTTATCAATCATGCAATTCATCAACCATCGTCGACAACGAGGTCTACAATATATTTGCTTATCTAAACGCAAAATTTTAATTTCTATTACCTGTATAAAATTGTTCTTTCTGTCATGCGTTAGTTGAACGTTAGTTTAGGAATTTTTTATTTAAAAGAGATGCATTTCTATCAAGTCGAGAGTGTTAAATATTTTTGTAATAAAAGAAAAGAAAATTCAATGAGATTATTGTTCCCTTATGATGCAATAGGCATATTTCTGACGCAAATCTTTTTTGCTGCTTCAAAATGGATGCATAAAATAAACATGTGTTCCGATATCCATAAATAGGACGACATTTCGGTGTGTACTATTTATTTTGTAAACGCATTGGTGAATGTCGAGAGAGTGCATTTTGAAAGCGCATCCGACAGTATGAGACCACTCGGAGACTACGATGTATTTATATCTTTTTCGTGAACGCGTTGCAACTCCCATTCAGTGTCAGGGCGAAAGCGAGTTTATGTATTATTCTGTAATTTAGTGTCAATCTAATTTATGTATTAGTCTATAATTTATTCTCAATCTGATTAATTGATTCTTATCTTGCAATTAAAATTATGTTTTCTTTATGTACATGGTACGATTCTTTATCATGAAATATATGGAATAGTTTTTATGTAAATCTATGCATGTTATATTTTAAAATAAACTTAGAGAAAAATTACTATTAGAGAAATATTAGAAAATTGAATTTAACGCGCTTTTTTATTACCATGTAACTTTCTGATAACGCTTTAGATCATAAAGATACAAACTTCGATAAAAATCACATGTGTAAATTGATACATTAATAATTTTAACAGATCCTTATCACAATAGATATAAGTTTATAAAATAATTTGCGAAATTGTTTCTTATAGATGATGAATTATATTTTCAGAGGTGAAGCAGGAAACAGAGGAGAGTGGAAGCACGAGTTCTGCTCCGGAGAATGTTGTGGAAAAGGGAGAAGTCGAGGCGACGAAGGAAAGCGAGAAGGAGAAGGACAATAAGGACAATGACGGGAACGAGAAGGAAGCAGATGTTGCTGATAAGGAGAAGGATCCCTCGAATGAGCAGGAGGTCGTCTTCATTCAGGATATGGGCTTCACCGTCAAGATCGTCAGCCCGGGTTCTGATCCTTTCGACATACAGGTCTCCAGCATGGAGCTTGTGCAGGTAATTGTTCGCTTTTTGATGAAATATTGTTGTCCATACACTGTCTGACAGAGAAGAATATCATTTATATTTTATTTAATAATAAATTATTTTATTATTTTATTAATGGATCGTCTTCCAAGATTTTGTATTTCCTTCCTTTGTATTTATCTTATTAATCAGTTGTCTGTGTTACTATATTATTTTATATTTATTATTTTACATTATATTTATATTAAATTTATGGTGAAATTTTTAAGATATACTTTCATTGATACCAAATTTTTAAAATTTGATATTTTTACTCAAAAAATTTTTTTTTATAGGAAATCCATCAGCTACTCATGGACCGTGAAGACACGTGCCACCGCACATGCTTTTCACTGCAGCTGGATGGCAACACATTGGATAACTTCGCCGAGCTGAAGAATATTGAGGGCCTGAAGGACGGTTCGATCATCAAGGTAGTGGAAGAGCCGTATACGATGCGGGAGGCGCGCATACACGTGCGACATGTGCGCGATCTTCTCAAGTCTGTGGATCCCGCAGACGCTTACAATGGCGTCGAGTGCAGCAGTCTATCGTTTCTCAATGCTGTTACGAACGGCGATATTACAGAGAAGAAGAAGAATCGAGCAGATTCAGTCGATTGTACGCCGCCCGATTACATCATACCCGGTTGTAAGGACAGGCCCTTGTTTCCTCTCCAGCCGCAGATGAAGGAGCAAAAGTGTCCGCCGTGTCTAAAAGTTAGCAATTTTTTAATTAGTTTATTAATAACTTAATTGTTGAAAATTAAAAAAAAGAAAGGAGTAATGAATTGATTATATCAAATTGTGACCTTTTTCTGATACATACATATTCTAGTTTGTCAAGTTTACTCAAAGCAATGTCAAATCATGCGAAAGATATTCAAGGATACTTAAACAATCAATTCTTACATTTAAAGTATTTAAAACTGGATTCTTATTTGAAGGATAGAAAGAGGGACAAATCAAACTTAAACTTTTTGCATTTTTTAGGTCCTAACGACGTCAGGATGGAATCCACCGCCTGGCCACAGAAAGCTTCACGGTGATCTGATATATCTGCACGTGGTCACATTGGAGGACAAGCAGTATTATTTAACCGCATGCGCCAGAGGTTTCTTCGTTAATCAGTCGACCAAAGAAGTGTTCAATCCTAAACCAGCTACACCTAGTCACTTATGCCACAGTTTGATTGAGCTCTTAAATCAACTTAGTCCGGCCTTTAAACGAGGATTTGCCGCAATGCAACGACGCAGGACTCTAAGGCATCCTTTCGAGCGAGTGGCAACGCCTTATCAACTATATGCCTGGAGTGCACCGACAATCGAGCACACCATCGACGCCATTCGCGCGGAAGACAGTAAGTTTTAAAGTAAAATAAAAAAAGAACTTTTTCTATTCAATAATAAAAAAGGACAATCCATAATCAGAATCTGAATATACCTGAATATTAGGGCATATAGTACTAGTTTTACGATAAAAAATTTTAATAGCAAGAGCTGATTATATATTATAAATTTTTATTTAAAATAAAACATTATACACATGTATACACATGTATAAATAAATTAGTATTAATTATTTGGAGATCTTAATGGATAATTGTTTATAGGAGACATAGTGAATTAAATAAATTATATTATACTGATTAAATCAAATAATCAATTTTCTTTTATTTATCCTAGCTTTCTCCTCCAAATTGGGATACGAAGAACACATCCCAGGACAAACTCGCGATTGGAACGAAGAATTGCAAACTACGAGGGAATTACCACGTAAAAATCTTCCTGAGAGATTGCTACGGGAACGTGCTATTTTCAAGGTACGTTGTGTCTCTCACACACATTAATATACAATGCAATTATATATTATATTAACATCCAATATAAAATAGTATAATAATATAATAAAATTAAAATAACAATTTAGTAACGCTAATTTTTATCTATAGTAATTTTAATAATGAATAATAATTCTAATCTAATCAATTTTCTTTTCATTAAATGATTTAGGTTCACAGCGATTTTGTGGCCGCCGCGACTCGTGGAGCGATGGCAGTGATTGATGGCAATGTAATGGCGATCAATCCCGGCGAGGAAGCCAAAATGCAGATGTTTATCTGGAATAACATTTTCTTTTCGCTTGGTTTCGACGTACGCGATCATTACAAAGAGTTGGGTGGTGACGCTGCAGCTTTTGTCGCGCCTCGCAACGATCTACAAGGTGTTCGGGTATATGCAGCCGTGGACTTGCCCGGTCTTTATACTCTCGGCACGGTTGTTATCGATTACAGGTGTGTTTTTTTGGATTCTGTTTAAAGTTTTGTTATTGATTCTTTAAGTTAATAGTTTGTTTCTTGTGATCTTTCTTTTGTAGAGGCTATCGCGTTACTGCGCAATCTATCATACCGGGTATACTAGAACGTGAACAGGAACAATCAGTGGTCTATGGGTCTATCGACTTTGGAAAGACAGTTCTCACGCATCCCAAGTACCTTGAATTGGTAAGAACAGAATATATGAATAAAATTTATATATAGTGATAATAAAAACAAAATAGTAATATATAATAACGATGAAAATAATATAGATTCTCCTTATCTTTTTTGTGTTGATAATTTAAAAGCAATAAAAGAATTATTAATAAATTTCTATCATTTTAATTAATTTTATTTTAAATTTTATATATATATATGTAATTAATTTTTGTTAAAAATATCTTGATCAATTTCTTTTCTCGTTACAATAATTTTGTTATGTAAATAATTCTGTTGTAACTTTGAAACTCAAGTATTTTTGATGCTCAATATTTAGCTGAATAAAGCTGGTCAACAGCTAAAGATTCTTCCTCATAAAGTGATCAACGATGCTGGCGAAGAGATCGAACTTTGCAGCAGTGTTGAGTGCAAGGGTATCATTGGTAATGATTCACGACATTATGTGCTGGACCTATTAAGGACTTTCCCGCCCGACGTGAATTTTTTGAAATGTAAGTCGAAGAACAACTGATTCTATGAAGGTCCTACAAATGAGATTGTTTATGAGTATATGCGCTTTATTTTTCTAAATTATTTTTTCATTCAGTGGAAGGTGTGGAGCTAAGCAAGGAAGCGCGAGCCTTAGGTTTTCCGGTGGAACATAAACATAGACTAGCCTGTCTGCGTCAGGAGCTCATAGATTCGTTTGTTGAGGCAAGATATGTTCAATTCATTAAGCACGCGGCCGTTCATCTTCAGCAGCTCACATCAGCTAGAAGATCTCAAAAGGAAAAAGAAACAACTACCAAAGTAAACATTTCTCTCCTTGTTGCTTTTTAAATTTTTATATATATTACTCAAAATATTACGGACAATTTGAAATAATAGTTATAGGAAATGATAAGAATTAATTATTCTCATTTTAGGAGGATAAAAAAGAGGATTCAATGGCCATTGCGACTGTGGATAGTAACAAAGAGGATTGCACCCAATCGCTGATAGAGGCTGACGAAGCTAAAAAGATCGTCGAGAGCATCACTGATTCGATTACAGGCGGCGAGAAACAAGAACGTATGTATTCGAATATACAAAGGAAGAAATCCTTTTAGCATTGATATCAATAAGAAATTTATTTTTTATTTATTTAATAATGAATATGTATGTGAATATTAGAAAAAAAGGAAAAAAGATTTGATAATAAAAATGATAAAGAAATAGTTACAAAAGTAAATTAATTTTGTAAAAAATTTTACCTTTGAATTATAGTAGAAGAGAGTACCAAGGAGATAGTGCGAAGAGCTGCAGCGGCGGTGGGCAGTCTGCGAGATGCCGAATTCGATGTGAGATTCAATCCAGATGTGTTCTCTCCTGGCGTTAAACATCCGGACTTTAATGGCGTCGATCTAAAAAAACAGAAGCAATTAGTAAAGGACGCCGCGGATTTCTTACTTACAGTGCAGCTACCTACGTTCGTAAGTTCAAAGTTGTACTTAAATTTTCTTCAATTAATATTTAATATATTTAATTGTATTTCTCTATCTTAATTTTAAATTCTTATTTTAGATACGAGAGTGCTTGGACCACACAGCAGCTGCGATGGATGGTAGTACGTTGGTGGAGGCTCTCCACGGTAGAGGCATTAACGTTCGTTATCTCGGTAAATTAGCGGCCATGTTAGCAGCAGTGCCGCAACTACAATATCTTAATCGTATCGCTGTATCCGAACTGATTCTTCGATCGGCCAAACACATTTTCACCTCTTACATGCAGGTGTGTGTGTATGTGCGTGTATGTATACAACCTCTTAAATTGGTCAGATATAAAATTATTTATTTTATCTATCTTGTCAAATATAAACTTACATCTTCTCAATATGTATTGTAAAACAAAATTGTACAAACATGTCTATTTTTCAGGGTACGGAACTGATGGGTCTGTCTGCAGCTGTCAGCCACTTTTTGAATTGTTTCCTGTCTTCGGCGCAAATAATACACCCGCAACAAAATCTAGAAGAAGTTAGTTCATATGCAAGTTATACTTATAATTAATGCGAAATTAATTCTTTCACAATATAATAATTGCGCGATAGAGTCAAAATTTTATTAAATACAAGTTGACAAATAATCAAGAGTATAGAAACAATTATTTTAGTAGAGAAAGATTATATTTTGTACATAATTAAATTATTAGTTATAATTTTCTGTACATAATTAAATTATTAGATATAATTTTCTGTATCAGCTTCAAAGCAAAACTGCGAAACGCCGCAACAAACGCAAAGGTAGAAATAATGGGCCGCAACAATCAGAAGTAGAGTGGGCATCGTTAACGCCTAAATCATTGTGGCAACAAATTAAAGGTGATTTGAAGGCCTATTATGACTGGGAAACACCGAGCCCGGAGTCTCTGGACGTCACGATAGAGCACTTCCATTTGCAAAAGATTTCGCTGCTGCGTAGCTTTTGCATCAAGACTGGTATTCAAATACTGCTGCGCGAGTACAGCTTCGAGAACAAGAACCGATCGACATTTTTCGAGGATGACATACTGAACATTTTTCCTGTCGTCAAGCATATCAATCCTAGAGTAAGTTGTTGATTTGGAGCGAATAAATATAAGACAATTCAATAACTCTGAAATTTTAGAAGACATCAATTTATTTAGAGAAATAATTCAAATAGCTAAAACATATTAATCCTAGAAGAAAAAAAATTTTTTAATGCAAACTAATATTTAGTTGAAGTTTAAAGAAATGAATTTTTATTCAAGTTAAAAATGATAGGCTCTCTCTTACACAAAATAAGTTAATTTAAACTTAATTGATTTTTTCAGGCTAGTGATGCGTATAATTTTTACACAACCGGTCAAAGCAAAATTCAGCAAGGATACTTAAAGGATGGATATGAGTTAATTAGCGAAGCACTGAATCTACTGAATAATGTTTATGGTGCGATGCATCCTGAAATTGCACAGTGCCTCAGAATGTTAGCGAGACTGAATTATATAATGGGCGATCATGCAGAGGCACTCGCTACTCAACAAAAGGCAGTTCTTATGTCAGAGAGGGTCAACGGCATTGATCATCCGTACACCATCACAGAATACGTAAGTTATATCAATAATTTTAAAACACAAAATTTTATTATTTATAATTCAAATGATGATAGCATAAGATAAAAGAATAATTATCTTTGTGTTGTATGTGGATTACATTATAGAAATAATATACACTATAATAAATTAAAATATATACATAAATATATAAAAAATGTAGACTAATATTAATAAGTAAATAGAATATTTAGTTCTTTAACAATGTATTAATAATTTATCATATTTCTCTATATAGATACATCTCGCCTTATACTCCTTTGCCAATGGCCAAGTATCTGTGTCATTAAGATTACTGTATAGAGCACGTTATTTGGCATTACTAGTCTGCGGCGAGGATCATCCGGAAGTGGCCTTGCTCGATGTAAGTCTAAAAATTCTTCTTAGTATCACTACTTAAAGAGAGAGCACATAACTCTTATATAAATTTACATTTTAAATTGTCTTTAAATTGATTCTTTCAGAGCAACATCTCGTTGATCTTACACGCGGTCGGTGAATATGAATTGTCACTGCGCTTCCTGGAACACGCGTTAGCTCTCAATTTACGTTATCACGGTTCGCGTTCGCTCAAAGTTGCGGTGTCTTATCATTTGGTGGCACGCACGCAGTCATGTATGGGTGATTTCCGGGCGGCACTGAACAACGAGAAGGAGACGTATGCGATCTACAAGCAACAACTAGGCGAGGAACATGAGAAGACGAAAGAAAGCAGCGATTGTCTACGTCACCTGACTCAGCAGGCGGTTGTATTGCAAAAGAAGATGAATGAGATCTATACGGGCAAGTCAGGCGTGAGCTTGCCACCCATTCAGGTACAGCCGCCTAGCATGGGTTCCGTGTTAGACATGCTCAACGTCATCAATGGCATCCTTTTCGTGCAAATTAGTCAACAAGACATCGACAACTTTAAAGCGGAGATCGAAAAACGGCAGAAGGAACAGTCGCAATTGGATAGTAGCGAGGTCATCAAGATCGAAAAGGACGTAAAGAAAGACGACAAGGAGATCAAGAAGATATGTACGACGATAGAGAAGAAAGTCGAGACGATCGAAGAAGAAAAGACAGAGATAAATAATCTGGAAACTAGCAAAGCCGGTAGCTTGGAACCAGTCGTAGCAGCGGAGAGCTGAACTCTTCGCTCGTTGACGACGAACGATAGTGACGAACGATAGTCTTTCCTTTCTCTTTTTCTGAGCCCTAGTCCCTCTCCTCGTGGAAACAATTTCGCGCGAGGATTGTTACGTGTACAGTATATATAGGGTATACATATGATATCTGCATGTATATGTATGTATACAATATATATATTTGATACTTGCACTCTGTTTCATTATATCGTATAAATAGTTGGAGACTCTCGAAAAGAGACGAGATGCAAAACAATGTTGTCGTCGATGGTGTTTACGAAAAAAGAGAAAAGAATACATTACACATTCGCGCGAAAGATTGAATTTTTACACGAAAAACGCACACTTATTTGTTATACCAAATGTATATAACAAGAAGATAAGAAAGTGCCATGTCGCTTAAAAAGCAATCTTTAATGCGAGCGTCTTAGATGTAAGAGGTATTGTGCCGTCTTCGCATCACAAAATCAAAGAGCAATGTGATTTCTTCACACTTGTGCGCGATCATATATATATATATATATATATTTTTTTTTTCTTTCTTTTTTTAAGAGTTCAAGTTATTCGTCCCAACACTAGCGGATCCTGACGTCGATTATGGAGGGGAGGGGATTTGCGAAATTATTTAATTAATATTTTTTGTTTCATGCTTAGCTTTTACTCAAGACTCAACAATAAATTGTTTTAATTTGCAAGGGAGGTTTAACCCCCTCCTCCCCCAGGACCCGCTAGTGCGTCCCAATGACGAAGGTGATATAACGCTTATCAGTTGTTATTTCGATGAAACAATTTGTTAATGTTGGAAAATCGATCGAATTTCTTGTAAATTTTGAAAATTGTCTTATTTTTTTTCTATTATGTATACCGTGTGTTTTATTAATCTTTTTTGTGTCATCACGTCCTTTTTTGGCCTTCACTGTCATCATTGGTCTAGTCGCCATCGATAAAAAAAGAAAGAAAGCACCACGATATCCAAACTCATGCATATAATCATCACCTTACATCGGTCATTACAGCAATCGCGTGAAAGTGCTTCCTCTTTTCGAATATTATTGAATCATATTAGGTTTTTATTTTTAAAGTATACAACTAAATTACAATGTATATTCTTTACTCTCAGTTTCGACAGTGATAATAAGAATAGCATTATTTACCTCCAATGTTCGTCATAAGGACACAATAATTGATCGTTAATCAAATCACCGCGATCGATGTAGTAGTAGATTTCAAGTTTCGCGATTAGAGTCGTAAGTAAACGAGAAACACAATTGTTACCGTGCTGTTAATGTTAATTTTTGTTTATCTCGCTTGTTCTGCGGATCTATCCGCGGCCGGAGTCGAAATTTCTTGTCGCGGTTTGGTCGACGATATAGCGATTGATAATTTAATATACAATAGTGATAGTAGAAAAAAACGCGTTTTTAATTATCGAAATAGCGCCAATTATTCTGTTTCAGTTTTTGTAGATTTTAAGCGAAACATTTTAGGCCTTAGATGAGAGAGCATCAACATTTTTTTCGCAGTTAGTGAAAGAGATCGATCAATCGTCGATGAAGCGTCGATTGCTATTGCCTCGAACAGATTCATTTTCGCATTGCAATAATAATCATAATGATAAATTAGTATACTGCACTTGTTAGAGAAATTGTACTATAAAAAAAAAAAAGTATAATAATCATAAGGTTTATTATATTATACACAAAAAAAGTTACAAACTTGATTTACATATATCATCCTGTTACAGCAGACTTTAACATGTTGCATGAAATAAATCGTTTTATAAGTATAACAGCTTCTACTTTAAACATTTTCGAATCTTTCTACAGGTCTTGCTTATTATCCAAACAGATCTTTGCTATTCAATACTATAATTGTTCCAATGGAATAGTGATATCTTTGTTAGAATTTTTCGTTTTCCTATCTTTCCTTTTCTTAACAGATTTTGATGAATTGTTAAGAATCTTTTCTCTTACATCCAATTTGTTTATCAAATACTGTCGTAATGACTGTAATGCGTTTAAACCATCACTTCCATTTTCAAATATCATCCATATCCTGAATACATCATCCTGAACAATTGTCTCTTCGTATTTCGAGCTTTCAGTTTCAATCCAGAGCTTACAAGTAAGCAAAGGTACACCTTCAAGTACTTTTTTATGAGAACTTTCTTCATTTTTGGCCCTAACTGTTGACGTTTGATCAAAAGAATGTTTATTAGCTTGCTCAATATCATTAGGTTCTTTTATGATAGATGTCGAAATTTTTTCTACATTCGTTTCAATACATTCTTCATCCTTAACTCTTTTCAATTTCATCTCTTGTTGCGCTAAACGTCGTTTCCTGCGCGCATGTTCCCACGATTTCTCTCTAGCAATTATTCGACCCGACCAACAGTCGACACTGTCTTCAGGAATGGACAGTTCTTGTAAACTAATCTGTTGTAATATAAAAAATGTAATTAAAGTTAATTAAAATTGACAAAACTCTTAAATTATATATAATTTTTAATTAGTTATATAATCAATAAATTCAGCTAGAAGAAATAATTACATTTAATTCTTCTATTGTTGTTTTCAAAAAACTGATTAAATCCTCCATACAAGAAAATTTATCATTAATAGGAAATGTTATCGAAGTTTTAGAATCTTTTTTTAAAGACTGTATGATGGATTTTCCACTTTTTCTGATTACAGGTGCACTACTCAGATCTACAATGTTTTTCGGTAAGAAGCTCCAAGCCAAACCCCATCTATTAACAAATGTAATTTTAATTACAATAATCAATACTTCATTTGTTAAATAATTTAGTACACTATAATAATAATTAATTAAAAAATTAGCTTATACAAACTTGTTCTCATAACTTATTAAAACAAAAAATTTTAATAATAAAATTGAATGAGCAAATTTTAATGATTTATTAATTTATATTTACCGTGTTGTGTGACCTTGACAGAACTCCGTCCACGTTATGTTTTCTATATTTTTCGATCTTATTAGTTTTTTGAGACTGAACAGATCGATTTTCTTGCCGATCATTGTACTGTAGATCTTTATTTGATTTCCTAAATCAATACTTTCTTCGATCATCTTTGTTACAAAAGCTATTTCACCACCCATGGTTTTCAATTCGCTATCATTTCCACTAGGCGCATTTCTCGGCGGCAAAACTTTCGCGATTTTTTCATCATCGCCATCGCTCTCGAAAAATGGCGGGTTGCACATCGAAAAGTCGTAAATTTTATCATCTTCTATCGCGTCCTTAAAAATTCTATCGGAATTTACTGTAACTACTACATTAAAAAAAAGTATCTCATTATGTAGATTTAAGTCTTTAGTTAATATCTTAAGCATGTTTCTCGTTATTTTTTTTAATGAAAGAATATCTTTAATAGTTTTTACCTTTAATTAAATTTTGCAAGTTGTTTCTTGTTACGCAGTTCTCTGCATGCCTTGCGCTTTTCTTATCCACTTCTGTGCCAATTACGTGACATCTATAGACTTTTGCCAGCAACAGAGCATATATACAAATTGCCCCTGTCCCTATTTAAAATAAATTTATTTAAAAAGCAATTCAAAAAAAGTTTCATTAAATAGGCAAGGATATAGGATATCTACTAAAATAATATCATTACGTTCCAAATACAGGATTATAAAAATATTTGCTACAGTCGTGATTGATTTTATGATTTTTCATTTATTGTTCTTATATTAATTTCTTATTTATGTTTTATCAATGTAATATGTGAAAGCTTCAACTATGTTTAGGAGTGCTTCAAAAAAATTTTTGTTTTTACCGATGTCAATTCCAGTGATCTGATCCATTTCCAGTTTGAAGTGCCTCATCAAATCTTCTATCCATAAAACATAATTCATGCGCAGAGTGATTGCTGGATTCAGATTATTTGGTGGAATGCTCACATGTAGATCAAAATCGTGCTTCAAAAGTGTTTCTGTAAGTACACACAGACTCTTCTTATTTTGAAAATCAATTCTGACTTTTCCCGTAATGTCCTAAAATAATGTGAATGTTAATAGAAAGCTGTAGGAAAGGCATTTCATTCAATTTGCATTGCCCCATCTAAGGACATTATATTTATATATTCTCTTAAATGCAAAAATTACTTAAAAAATGAATAAAAAGAAATTGTTTATGTATATACAAATCTTTTTCTTCTATACTTTTATATATCATTTAAACAAAACACATTATATGTTGCCTTCTTTTTTAAGCTGCGCATTAACGTGCACTAATATTATATTTATTACACATACATAATATTAGTCTCTGTAAATTGCAAAAAATATAATAGCATACCATGATCGCAATTTCGCGAAACTCCGGATACAAGAGCGCGAGTTGCTTGTAATCGGGCGGTTTCTTGTATTTATTCCTCGGATGAATATATCTCTTCACGTTCATTCTGATATCAATCGAAAAGAGCTGCTTATTCGTTGAATACGATTAATTACAATTATCATTTAATCATATTTGAGCTAATTGATTTTTTCGCAAATTGTCATGTGTCAGGTGTCAAAAATAAAACGCCATATTTGTTTGTTTGGCATCGAATTGCTAATATATAGATACGCGTACGCTTATATTATTATAATTGTGCAAATTGTGATAGTCCCTAGAATATTCTAGGGAATGTTTGGAGATTGATTACACTGCGATTCAATAGACTTCTTTACTCTGATTGGTCGTACAGCTGAGTAAATCATTGATTGGTTACGGCAATAAAAGCGCTTTATTACAATTTTTCACAAAATGCGTAATTTTTATAAAATATATTTGACAATAAAAAACATATTATTTTTTTATATTTTCCGCGGTAAAAAAAATATTTTTTGTAGAAAAAATAAAATTTGAACACAAAGGCTAAAAAAAAACAAAATTAAATATAAAAATAAAAAATTAAACTAAATATAAAAAACATTTTAAATATTAAATGTTTCATTAAAATTTTGAATTTTATATAACTAATGCTGTGATTATTTTCAAAAGTATTTCATTTTCGATTTAACTGTATATATGTATTTAATTATATTTTTATAATCATACTATTTCTTATTTAATAAATCTTTTTATTGTATCTTTATATGATTACAAAAATAAAATAAATATGATCATAAGCAGATGTAAGAAGCTCTGCAATTTTATTAGAAAAAGGAATATATCTGACACATAAGAACTGTCAAATTTCATTATATAACAAAAAGTTAACTATATAGCCAATATCTTGATATGAATATTCAAAGTGTACAAAATAATAGAAATAGATGAAATAAAATAAAATATAGCTTTATTATTAACTGTTATTAACCTTTTAAAAATTAAGATTAAATAAAGAAATGTATAACACAAAAATAAATTTATAATATAAACAAAAAGTACGTATAATATTTAATAACAATCAATTAGAATATTAACGATTAATTTTATAGATGGGTCATCACGCAGACGTGATCCCGACATCGTTTATCGTCACTATGCAAGATAACTTCTCTAATCTTAGATCTTTCCAAACAGTAATTTTTCGAGTTTCACCGTGTTGTCTCCTTACCAGTAATCTCGTGACTGGTACTCTTGCCCAGTATTTTCCTAATGCTGGTGTTATAGTGCCAGGGTTTATTTGATCGGAGGAATTCCATTGAGTAACTGAGTTCACCGTGATCACAATTGCCTGGCATTCTCTCGTGAGAAATCGACACGCCTCGGCCAAATCGTCGAGCTCATAAGTCGTTTCAAGATCACGCTGTTGCGCTTCTCGCGTTATCTTGAAAGAAGTAAAAGAATAGTTGAGATTGTTAAAAACTGAAGGCTTACGTAATTCTTAATTTTATACTATTTTTTATACTATTTAATATAAAATTAATTATAAATTAATTATTATAAAAAATTGGCAAGAAAATATTATTTCTTAATAATATTAAATATGATATTCTCTCTAATCATATTGTATTAATGTATAAAATATAATTTAAGTATTTTATAAATTATAATTAATAGAGATTTATCTATCAATACCTTAAAGATAACTGCTGGTAAAGAATCAATAATTACGAGATAATTTCTTCTTCCTTCGAGCGACATATTATTTTGCTCCGTTTTAAAGATAGTTACTAATTCGCGCAAAACTCGTATTAATTCACAGAATGAACTTATATAACAGACTTTTGTACGTCGCAATGTGTCTTCTATAACCTGGGAAAAAATACAGAATTTATAATTTTTAAATTTAACAATCAAAAGTTAATAAAAACTGATTTTATTCGTATAATGTGATACAAAATTTATCAATGCACAAAAACATTTTAAAGATAATAAACATTTATCATATAAAACGCTTTCACCTTCTACACAGATATTGTTCTTATTCTTTTTTCAGAAAATTATTTCTTTTTCTGATTGTATAATATAATTGACTTTTTTACATTTAAGCTCCAATTCGAATTTACATTAGAATCTGATTAAATTATTAATTACATTTATTAACATGTCGATGATTTGATTAATATTAAAAGTTATTATTACCTCTTGCCTACAGTTTCTTGCCTTTAGAATCTCTTCGTATCGAAGTCTGGAAAAATCTCTTTTCGTGTCCAAGTACCATACAGTGATGTCTGATCGAATAGCAGCAATAGTGGCTATTGTCAAACATAATTGTGTCTTTCCGGAAGATGATGGTCCACATAGTTCGCACAACTGTCCAGGATACAGACCACCTTTCAGTAATTCGTCCAAACTGTTTTAATAAAAATCAGATGTTAAATATCTGTATCTTCTGTATAGTATTGCAATATTTAATATCTTCAGACATCACATCTGTGTTTATCGAAATTGTTTTGATTAACAGTTAATAATGTGCTATAAAAATACCATTTTATATTGGTCGAAATATATCTGCGTTCTATTTTAAAGATTTCAATCGCATTCCTCTTGATGCCACCATGATTCTTTAATATGTGTTTCTTAATTTGCAATATCTCCTGCAAATATTAAAATATTTTGCTATTGTAAATATATGTATAAATATCAAGTGAATCTACTTCAAGTTTCAATTTTTCCATTTATTCCATTTGTTCAAGTAAATAAAAAATAAACTGAATTAATACATAAAAAGTAATACATTAAAAAATTAAATTTTAAAGTGCATTCAAATTTTGATTTTTAATATCTAAACATATGTGACACACATTTTCATTTAATTTTATTTTATTGTATCTTTCTTTTTTACTAATACATACCATATGTGAAAGATCGATAAAGATTGCCAATTTAATTGGATCTGTCGTGACAAAATCCACGATTGTAATTATATTTCTGCGTCGCAATGTTTCTATTACTATTTCCGATAAACTCGGATGAATGTTTGTGTTCAACTTAATCATCCTTCAATCCTGAATGTATGCATATATATGTACGTTGAGTATGCATACCTAAAAAATAAAAAAGAATACAGTAGAGTTCACATGATTTTGCTTTTCTAAAAAGTTTACAATAAATTTGTATATGTAAAATCTTTTAAACAATCATATAAATAAATGCAGATAAAAGTGTATATTGTGTATAAGCGTTTGATTAAAATTTATATCATAAAATAATTTAAATTTTTAACAAAAAAAGATTCAAATCTTTACTAACTGCTATATGGAAACATGAAACGTACAAAATTAATAGATAAAAAGATACAACTTTCCCAACCACGTTAAATTAATCAACATACAAAAACATTATTTTTCGAAATTATTCGAATCAACAGTCACGATGTACGAACATCTAGATGGTGCACTCGAACAAAAACCCTAATCACTTAAAAATCCCTAAAGCGTAGAAAACATAGTAACATTAGGGCGATATCACACGAGTCGCCATTTTTCTCCTTAGAAAACAAGGTTTCCCATTAGCTGACAGATGTCAATGATGCAAATCTACCATAAACAATCAATTCCAGGTACACGCATTTTTATCGCGCGGCATTTCAAAAACGCGCGCACCACGTCGCCGCTCTTCCGGTGTTCATCGACGACGATCGAGATCAAGGTTCATTTCGCCGAGTGTTCCACGCGCACGAGGAGGTTCCGGAGTCGTCGGAGAGGGAGAGAAAGAGAGAGAGAGACAGAGACAGAGGGAGAAGATCCGTGACGCGAGGATTCTGGCTGCACTTATTCACCTTCGATTCCCCGAAGAAGAGATCCCGGAGCGCGGTCGCTCGAGATGACGATCGTTTCCGCGGCGACGAGGGTGACTGCGCGCGAGGATGCCGCCATCCGGCGCGCGTCGTTCGCTCGTCGCGAGGGAGGACGCACGTGCGCGCACTCGACGATCGAACGGCGCTCCCGAGACACGCGAAGCCCCGGCAATGAGTTGCGAGACGCCGCCGACGACGGAGTGAGCCCGGGTCCCGGAGGGAGCTCGACGCACCAGGTACGTAGACGTGAATGGGAAGAATTATTATTGGGACGAGAAAAGAATGTGTGAGATTCTTTTACTTGCACTCACGCCACGTGGCGAGTGCACCTCGGCTCGGATTATCGATCGTCCCCCATGTGTGAACGTCGGGTTTATCCTTCCTAATCGTCTGCATTTTTAAGGATTTTTCGCCCTTCTTTCTTTCCCCTTTTTCCGCAAATATTCTCTTAAATATATTTGAATATGTATTATTTTATTTTGAAGATGTATATAGTGCATGTATATAATAGTGCGAAAATTGATTTCTTATTTTATATAGAATTAGAAAAAGTGTAGAATAATCTGTACATATTCATATATACATTTTTCTTTTTTATTTTCGATGCTTATATTCATTAATTAATGCATGCGTGTTTATTTCGAGTGCAAAAAATGTGATTTGGTGCAAACGAAAGGAACAATTAAAGTAGAGAAAATTATACAGAATACAGAAGGTTAAAAAATTGGAATTTATAATAGGAGCAAAGTTTATCCCGATGAATCATCTCAAAAATGTTTCTAAAAATTTATTTAGCCTCTTTACATTTTGCACAATTTAATAAATTATAATTAGACTATCATCTGGATTATTAAAGATAAAAAATTGAAATTTGACCAATGAAGAACTGAAATTCCAAAATATTTAATATTCAACGCGAAATCCGATACGAGCTTTAATCTCGTAATCGGCTTAATTGCGCTGGACCGAACCCAAACATGATTAATTATCCTTCGTGAGCAAACTTCTCGGAAAAGTAGATAAATTAAAAACGAGAATGCTATACATATTTAAAAGTTGGTGAAGGCGAAGAGGAAAAAGAAAAAGGTGCAAAAAGTTCAATTCCAAAGAACAATTCTCTCTCTCTCTCGAACTTGGAGGATATATGGATTCGAACGTACGAGCTCGCCGACCAATCGCGCGCGTCCTTCGATGCCACGTTGTCGCGCGCAGCGACCGCGTCCGACCAATCGGAGCGCACGAGCGTCGGGCGCCATCTTCGCGCGACTGGGGGTAAACTGTCTCTCGCTTCTGGCCGCGGCTGAAATTTGTCTCGCAGCCGTCGCCATGTTTAGAAGTGCGTACGCGTCCTTGGGCGTGCGGTGTGACAATGTATCGTGAAATATTAGATATATCTCATGCGTCGTATGTTACGTGAGGTACCCAATTGCGATTTGACCCACGCGGATCGCGGACGTGACGCTCGTTCCCGTGGATGGCGCACCCAGGTCGCGGAAATTTGTGATTACATTATGGTAAGTCCGCGGCCGTTTCGGAGCCAACGCCAACATGGCGGACGGGAGATTTCCTTTGTATCGTGTCGCGCCGCGCCGCGCCAACGTTCGCGTCCGGGGCGGCTTCCTCGGCCGTCGAGGCCGCTCGTCGCGTCGACGGGCTCGCTTCCTGGCGCGTCTGGCGCGTCGCCGCGATTCCAGCTGCGTTTCTTACCCTCTCGCCGTCACCGGCGAAAATATATACCTCGACGTTATAACGCGCCGTTTTCCTCGACGCGCGACGCTCCTCGGGAAGCCAGATTCCGGATTTTTCCTCCTGCCGGTCCGGGATCTTGCGACATTCGCGATGACACACCTCCTCTCCCGACACTCGCCGATCCCCGATATCCCGTCGTCACGTACGACATCGAATTTCGCGTATGTATTCCACGCATTCTGCGCAATATCTACTTTTATTTATTTATTTTTTTTTGTTTAATGAATCGCGCAGCTCCTCCGAATTTTTACCGTTTTTTTTTTTTTTTTTTGCGAACAATCGAAGTACTTCTATCCATCGACAAATGAATGAGCTCGTTCATTGGAAATCATTGTTACTTTTTTTTTATTTGCTTGGAGTATTTCTGTTTATTTTTGTTTTTTAGGCAGTTCACGATAGCAAAGAATTGCGTGTTCTATGCATTATTTAAAGAAAGATAACTTTTGTTGCATTGCAAATCTGCTTTCAATGTATATTTTTTTATCTTAATATTTTACATACACAAATTCTATTTCTTTATTATATTTTTGTCTATGATAGTATACGCTTAATGATTGAAGATATATATATATATATATATATCATTTAAAATTTAATAAAATGTTCATTCAATTCTATTTTTTATTATTAAATTGTTTTTAATAATGTTATTAACAGATTATTGTTAGTATTTTTTTGTTTTTTTTACTCGTGTTTCAATTCTGTAAATTATTTATCTTTTAACTTATTAGATATTTTCATACTTTAAAAATTTAAACATTATATCATATTAAGAAGAAAATTAAGTAAAAAATATATATAAATGTACAATTTATATATACATTTTTTTATTAAAACTTAATTCTATATTTAATTACATGCATTAATTGCATACATATTTAATTACATACATTGAATATCTCTAAATTTGGTTTTTTCAAATTTACTTTTATATTTTAAGCTTTTCCAAGTTCTATTTTGCAGGTATCTTTTTAAGATAAGAATACAGAAAAAATTATAATATTAATTCTTTAAGAATATAGATGGTTAGTATCTTTTTAGCAAACAATTTTAAGAATTATATCAAATTGTATATATATATAAATCTAATAAGAGTTGATGTGAATTTATGTATCGATAGACATCATATTTAAAGATATGCACAAGAAAAAATGTTTAGTTTATATTAAAAATATATTAAGACTATAATATATATTTTAATCAATTCTATTAAAGTTTATATATATTAATGTTATTTAAATAAATCAAGTTTTCAAAGGATTAATATTTTAATAGTTATACTTTGTACTCAATAAGACATGATTATTTATGTGGTGCAAGTCACTGTGAATGATTGTACAGTGTAACACTTTATTTTTTCAGCATAACGTGCAATGAGTGATAAGCAAGGTGCACCTATTTTACCACCCCTTAATCGGGGTGCGACTAATAATGGCGGAAATAATGGAGGTGCAGCTCAACAGACTGTCAGTCTGCAACAGGTTCTCGCTACTCAAGGCCTCAATGTGCTCTCTACCAGCGGGCAACAGTTTGTCATTACAAGCCAAGTTCCTGGTCTTACACAGGTGAATCTCTATGGTTCCTCAAATTAAAATGTATTGCATTTTGAAAAAAAATATATTATTTATATTTATATTTAAATTATATTTATATTTAAATAAAAATATAAATGCATTTTCTTTTCATAAAGTACATAATTTTTTATCTAATTTTATCATATACATATATTAGTAATTAATAAATTAATTATAGTCGACAATTATTGTTAATTGTTATTATTTTGACATTATTTATTATTATTATTGCTTACTAATAAACTATTTGTAATAACTAATCACTAATTTAATTAGTAAATAATTATAATTAGTAATGATTATATATCGAAGGTTATTTTAATCTTGATTATTTTTATTGTTCATTAAAAGCAGTGTTAATTTCACCATGGATTACTCTGTAATCGTATTAAATAATTATTAATTTATATATACTTCTACACCTCTGTGTCTACGATTAATATTCTATGATTAATATTTTCATTCACAGGTCATACCGAATAACGTCACGACTAATGCAAGCGGAACGCAACAAATCGGCGTCACAAGAATCGTCAACATTGCGGGTACGCCACCGCGTAACGCAGGAGTGGTGGCCGGGAGTGTCAGTGTTACCGGCACATCATCGTCGACGGTCGGCATGTCGCGGCCACAGAACTCCACCAAGGTAGTGTTAGCGACGTCGCCGAAACTCGTACGGACCTCAATGGGCAACATGTTCGTGACACCGATGTCGTCGCAGGCGTCATCGCCGCAGACGCGGGTGCAATCGCCGTCGCCGTCGCCGCCGGCAAGAAAACGATTAAAATTATCGGAAACGACGGAAAAGGCGGCCGCATTCGACACCAGTGATTATTGTAGACGGATACTAGAGCATAAAATACGGCGGATACGTTTGGTACGCGAGAAGTACAAGGATAATGCATCGGAGTTATTCTTCTTGCACGTCGGCGGCAACATGATGGACTATCACAATTGGCTGAAACGCTCCTCGACGCCGCAATATTTGCATTTTTTACGTCAGCATCCACTGGATCCGGACGACGATGACGAGGATCTGACAGCACCGTTATCATCGGATTTCTCGCAGTTGTCTGCTATCACCACTGTTGCCACTACTACCGTCGCCACTGCTATTACTACTACTACTACCACTGCTGCTGTCACCTCCACCGTAGCAACAGTTACCGCAGGATCGACGATGGTACAAATCCCGAATCAAAGCGCGGAAGTTAAGATTTCTGGCGCGGGCGTCACCCCGATCGCGCTCGCCACCACCCTGCCTGCTGCGGCTTTAGCCCAGCTCAGTCAGCAAGGTAAATATCGTTTAATAATTAAAATAACAAGGAAGTCTAATTCTTTATCTTTACTTCGAGCAATATTGACTATATTTTTTTTTATTCCTAATGAATCCATCGAGAATGCTATTACGTTTATGTATTAAGTTATACGATATCATTCTTTTACAATTGTTATTTGCTGCGGATGCGTATTTGAAACGGTGCTGAATTTTCCCTTTAAATCAATAATCGTGTAATATAGTTTAGTTTATAATTTTAAATAAATTACAGTTGCTTTTATTTTTTATCTTATAAATCAATGCTAATATTGAACAAATAATTATTAGATGTGACAATATCTATATGTTAGGAAAAATTGGGTATTTTTCTTACAATTTAAAAAGACACGTGGAAGAAGGATTATATTTCATCAAAATCATATTAGATGTCACACATTAATCCTTATAAACAAATCGATCAGAATCGTGAATTAAATCTTGATGAATGTTTTGTAGTTATTAGTTACAGCATACATATCTCCGGCACTTTAATAGTGAAAACTTGCGTTTGTTGATTATTTTTCGCTTTTTAAAATTAATGATTCTCCCATTATTCTATTTGTATATATATATATATATATATATATATATACTAGTTGAATTTTGAAGCTCAATATAAGTAAAATATAACTTTGAGATGATTGAGATATAATTAAATAATGCTGTAAACATTAAATTATAAAATATTAATTTTCTTAATGAAATTTATTATCACGAAATTCAGATTTACAATGATGTCTAAAGAATCGACGGAAGGTTTTTTATTTACTGAATATGTGTGATTGACTAGAAATATTAGGTGTAGTTTTAGAAGTCTTTTTCCTCTGCTTTTACGTCCGAAGATATTTTTATCATTATCTTGAAAAAGTATTTTTTTAACATTAATTATTTAATAAACCTTTTCTCATTCGTGTTATATTTTAGCCATTATTCATTACCATGAATAAAAAAATCCGGTTATTGTGTACCGAATAAATGATCATTTGCACACTAGGACAAGTACCAGGTAGGCCTCAAGGGGGCCGCCATGGCATGGTATTTGCCTTCCGAGCGGCAATCCAGTCTTCATCGTCAGTCACCGTTCACCCTCCATCCGTTTCTACTCTAGCACCTACGCTCATTATAGGTGATTACCGCAGGTCGCCTGTCGTTCGTTTCTTCGTGTCTTTAAGTCGCTCCATATATTGGTTTCGCTTTCGAGCAATCCGTTAGTTGCTCCATGTCCTTGAGTTCTCATTGAAAATTAATTATTTTCTTGCGTTATACTTCTGTATCATACTCATGACTTGAACCGTTTGAACAACGATCGGGAGATATTCGCCAAACAAAGACATCTTGCCTACTGCTATTAAAAATATGTAAGAACTAGAAATTTGTATTCATACTTTGAATAAATCAAAATCAGTTGTACACAATATAAAAGAATTGGCAGAAAGTAATCACAGATTCTTCTTTTATATGAAAAATTTTAAATGATTTTTCTATTAATATAGTACTTATCTCTTCTTAAAGGTTTTTCTTTAATATTGCTAAATTACTTTTATCAATTACTTTTTATATTTATTTCTCAGTAGATGTCTTACAGGACTCCATAAGAAATGTGGCTAATTAAAACTAAAATGAAAATAAAAAGATGATCCGATTAAAAGGTTATTTTATAAATATTTAAAATTTAATAATTGCTTTGCAAAAAAGTCTCTTTATTAGAATAATTTATTAGAATATCTATCACTTAAAATAAATTTATGAATTTTAGCTAAACATACTGTATCCAAAATCATATACAACATGTTTTTTTCACTGTATGTTACTTTATGCCAATTATACAGGATGAATTAGACAAGAATAAATGACATGTTATATGTAAATCTACAACAATGCTCTGTGTGGCAATCGACCTGATTGTTATCAAACGCAAACGCATGTTTTTGTTTGAAGCTTAGTAAGAATAATGTACGTCTATTTCCTATCGTCTCTGTATCACACACATACACGTACATTTTCTCAAATATAAATGGAAGCGATTAGTTTATTTTATCTTAATTGGCATGTTACATGACAGTTTTCGTTTCTTTGGTAGTTATTGTTGATCTTGTATTTCTTCAATGTAGCCAAAAATTTATAATTATTATCATTATTGCTATTACATGCGTGAGGTGTATAATACTTTTGATAATTCAGTACTGAGAATTAGAGATATTATTTGTTTTTATTTCTTTAGTGAAAATGTAATTCTAAAAATAATAAAATTATTTTTATTTTATTTAGTATTAATTTACTATTTTCATTAATATAAATTATTTTATTTTGTTATTAATCTATATATAAATTATCGAATATATCTCAATCTTATTGCTTGAAAGTATGTATGCAATATTGCATTATTAGCAGGGAAAATTATTGGATAAAAAAATATTAAATTATTAAAAATGTAAAATATATTAAATTATTTTACATTTTTAAAACTCTAGTATTTATTCTCATTTAAAAGAAATATAAAATGTTCACTTACATCTGTGAATTATGTAATAGTATATTTCTATTATAAGTATCCATTTATATTACTTAGCAATCTTTATTTAATTAAAAAAAAAAAAAAAAAGAAAATCATGAAAGTGTGATAATACAAAGAAATTTATCTTATTAAAAATATCTTACGTGAGTAAATATGTTTAAAAAAAACGTGATGAACGGTGATTAAGATAGCTTGTCGATCGATATAATTTCGTGAATAAATAGTAAAACGCGTGTGTTTAGGAAAGTCTTAATCGCTATATTAGTCTATATATAATTTGAAACTTTTAGCAAAGAGTGGCACATTGATTGTTGAAATTAATTGCTTCTAAAATGACTCACTTTTCCTTTCTTCAATTACTATTTATCGGTGTTATATAAGCTGCTATATATCGCATTTGCCAGCTCTTCCATTTATGTTTTATGCATATAATTTATCATATATCTTATAACAATTTTTTTAACCGTGTTACAGGTGGTACCCCGGTGGTTGCAGAATCGTCGAAACCGACGATTATGATCACCGCACCGAGTCCGGTGGTAGAAAAGCCGTCGTCATCGATAACCACCACCGTCACTCCGAAAACGCCTACGACAGCCGCGCTCAATAACCCCCAACCTGTTGTTAAGCTCGTTAAGTTGTCTGCACCTACTACCGTAATTACTTCTTGTGATATCACGAACAATCAGGAGCAAATTGTAGAAAAGGCTAAACAGGTGATTGTCATATTCTTGGTAATCGATTCCGCATACCATTTTTCTCATCTAAAAAGCATATATAAAACAAGGCATCATTTCATTGAATATGTAAAAATTTTAATAAATTAAATTATTTAAATTATTTAAATTTTTTACTTATTTTGGAATTATATTTTAACAATTATTTTGTTATTTAATTTTTGATGTATCATTCTTATACTCAAAATTAAACATTTTATGCTAATTATTATGCTTATTGGAAATGCAGGAGGCATACGTGATGCAGAGGATTGCTGAATTGCAACGTGAGGGATTATGGTCAGAGCGACGATTGCCCAAAGTGCAGGAACCAACTCGACCCAAAGCCCATTGGGATTATTTGTTAGAAGAGATGGTCTGGTTGGCTGCCGATTTCGCTCAGGAGCGTAAATGGAAGAAGGCTGCGGCAAAAAAATGTGCGCGAATGGTGCAAAAGTACTTTCAGGAGAAGGCGATTCAGGCGCAGAAGGCTGAGAAGTCTCAGGAACTTCGATTGAAGAAAATCGCCAGCTTCGTCGCCAAAGAAATTAAAACTTTTTGGACGAATGTCGAGAAGGTGAAATAGAAGAAAGCTAATATATATATATAATTTATCATAATTTATCGATTTAGATCATGAAAGAATTGTTCCAATTTATTTTAAATTGTTATTATTATATCATGTTTTTTTTCTTGTATAAAAATGAATTGTGATTTAATTTTGATTTTTCCTATTACCCCACACTAATTAAGCCGACCTTCTTGATGTATCGTTATCAGAAGCGTGTGCTCGTTGTGGGAACAGCAAAGTCTGCGCATTGTGTATGGTTGTGTGATTTTTTTAAATTCAGCCAAAGAATTAGCGCAGGACATCTATTATTAAGTTATACTACTATATTGAATGGTATCACAAATAGAATATATCGCATAATGTTTTTGAACTTGAGCAGAATAAAAGTTTTCAATAATAAAATTTTAACAATAATTTTTAATTTTAATAATATTTAGACTGAATATAAAGAAATATTTAAACATAAATTTTAAAAAATAAATGAATTTTATACATAATTATGTGTAAAATATAGATCGAATTTTTATAAAAAAAATATGCAAAATTGCGATATGAAATTTATGACATTGCTTTTACATCACTGATATTTTATTATTATTGAGTTCTTATAATATTGTTGTAATTTGTTGACAGTTGGTGGAATTCAAGCAGCAAACAAGACTGGAAGAAAAACGAAAGAAGGCGTTGGATCAGCATTTGAACTTCATTGTGGGTCAAACAGAGAAATATTCTACATGGTTGACAGAGGGTCTTAACAAGACAGATGGTCCACAAAGTATTCCAGCTTCCATAAATAGTTCGCGCATTTCTTCACCAATTCCACAAGGAAAATGTCATTCCGATGGTATGTTTAATTTATATAATAAAGTATAATTAATTTTATTGGTTGATTATATTAATTTTATTGATAATGCATAATAAATAAAATACATGTAACATTAATATTATATATAACTAATTATAATAACATTAATATTACAATATGATATTCATTTTAATACAATTATTGTTAATAAAATTACTTTATGACAATAAAATTTAAAGCATAAAACTTTTTAACTATGATATTGTATAATTACTTTATAGAATTATGCAGTAATATCATATAAAATTTAATGGCTTTTACTATTATAATTTATGAAAGACATGTATGTACTTTGGAGTTTAACTTTTGAACTTTGTGTTGCATAAACTTAATTAAATTGTATATTGAATTGTATATAAATTATTTCAATTCAATCTTTTTCTGTAATAATAATATCTTTGTAATAATGAATTGTATAAATTATTTTAATTACGTAATGTTTAATAGACTGTTATTATTTTAATTATATAATAGGTTTTATTTTTAATTGTGAGTTGTATAAAGTAGTTGTTACAGTTTTACTTTTAAATTATATTTTACTTTTAAATGATTACTATTTACTAAATTCAAATCTTAGTTTAATTTTATTATAAATTTACTGTAATTTTATAATATTATATAAATTATTTTAAATTGTACTTACAATATGCATTATGCACATTACAGAGGAATTTCAGCCAAACCAGAGTTCAGATGATGATGAGGAGACTATAGCTAAAGCTGAAGAGGAAATGAAATTAACAACCAATCATAAGGAAGAAGTGGAATTATTGAAGAGAGAATCGGAAATACCTTTGGAAGATCTTCTGAAGGAGTTGCCGCCAGATTATTTGGAGATTTGCAACAAAAGCTCATCGCCGCATAACGCAACGAATGAAGAAAAGCAAAATGTATGTTTACATTTGGATATGAGAAAAAGAAATATTTGTCCATTTTTTTAGATTAACTTTATACAAAGGAAAAAGATAGTGTTGCAAATTTTTTTATTTGATACTAATATCAATGTATTCTAATATAGAAAGATTTTGTGATCATAATATTCTCATTACGGTAAAATTATTTCAAAAAAAGATGAAATTTTAAAAATGATCTTAAATTACTTTAATAGATAAATCTATTCCATCATTAAAAAGAGTTTCTAAAATCTATTATTTGATTGTATCGAAATTCGTGTCACTATTTTTGGTAAACATTATCTTTTATTCTACTCACTCTTGTGTTTTAATAATATAAAATTTTAACATAAAAGTATATTTTTTCAAAATTGATTAAAAAAGCAATTAAAAAATTTTTAATTGCTGTGACAAAAATTAAACAAAATTTTACAATTTTAATTATAGGACAGCAAAGAAGCGACTGACGTGGATGCAGATTTCGTCGCAGCATCTGGTGAATCGTCGGACGAAGAAGATACTATCATGGAAGAGGAGAGACTCGAGGGAGAGATTGATCACAAACGGGAACTCGATGAACTTAAGGTATATAGTTTTTCTCATTTGTAATCATTAATTGTTCTAATATTAAGAAATAAACGGACGATTGTAATTCTTTTTTTGCCAGATTGTTAGATGTAGAATAAAAATATGCTCGTCTTCATTTAGGCTGACAACGAAATGTCTATTGAAGAACTTGCAGCCAAATATGCAAATATGTCGGACATGTTGATGGACGTGGACGTGGAGGCCGAAGGTAATTATTATAATTATACTACATTATATGTATAAAGGCTTTATTAATTATGTAGTTTTTTATTTGTATAAATTATCACAGTGATGATATTACCAATCCTGACGGTTCGAAATAGTGGTTTTCATTTATTTCGATTACCTTTTGTGCTGTAAAATGAGGCATTTGTCTGAGAAGATTTTTAAAATACAATTTATATAGCATTTTAAAACAAATCTAATTTAATCAAGTACTATTTTTATTCTTCTTTAGGTACGGATAAAGAGAACAGCGACAAGGAAGCGGCACCAGAAACCGAGGACCAAACGAGCAGTAGCGAGAACGAGAGTGAAGAGAGTGATCGCGAGAGTGATGGAGAAGAAGAGGTTCGGTCTCAGAGCGAAGCAGATGTGGGACTTCAATCTCTCCTCGAAGATCCATCTGAAAAACAATCGGACAGCAGAGTGAGTTATGAAAGATTTTTTGTTGTAGATATAAAGTTTTAATTTTTTAAATTATATTATCAAACTTATTACAAATTGGTGGATTTATAGTGAGTTTTTTTTTAAGTTAATTTGTTAAATTATTTTATATATATGCTAATGTTTTCTTATAATTCCTTTATCAGACATGTGATTACTTTTGATTATAGATTGCAGACGATCATTCAGACGCTCGTAACGAGATGGATAACGTTGCTGCGTTGGCCGAGAGTATCCAGCCTAAGGGAAACACATTGCTTACTACTAGTGTAAGTTTTTTAAATTTATGTTCTTACTTTTTTCGTTAAATTTTATTCTCAAAAATATAGATACATGTATATAAAATTTTATTGATCTGTTCTTCACAATTTAATTATATTTGATATAATCGTTCAACATTTAATATCTTAGTAATAAGGAATTTAAAAATAAATTACTAATTATGGTTATTACAATGTAGCCTACTCGAAATTATATAAATCATAAGATTTTATATTTTATGTATATTTATAAAACTCTGAAATGTCTGTTTTTAATTGTTTACTTTACAAAAATAGTTAATATCTCGATAATTTTTAGCAGAGTGAAACTAATTTCAAGAGTTTTATAATTTATACGAGAATATATTTTGCATAAATTTTTGTATTTATATTTCAATTATTTTATTCTGTATCGGGAAATTTAAAAATGTTTGACAAATAATCCTTTCAATCCAAAGTAATGAAGCAGTAATTTTGCTCGTTATTATTTATGAAAGGAATATCAATAGTGATAATTTTCTTTCTTATGAATAAATGTGTATTTTATTCTAGAAAATAATCACTACAAAATTATTAATAAATCATTTCAGTATATTGCGTCAATTTTTAATAACATACATTTGATAAATTTTAATTATATTTTTTTAAATGTCTAAGCATCAATACATTTGAATTACAAATTATTACACAAGAAGTAACTTTTGTGCAATAAATTTCAAATTATCAATTGGAAAGTAAATAGGCAAATACTAAAAGAATTGAAATAAATGTTAAATTTTTTCAACATAGCTTAGAAAATCTTAATAAAATTAAGTTTGTTTTTTTGTAATGACATTTTGTTGAATCTAGTTCTTATTTATCATCTTTAGAATATTCTTTAACATTATATCTATTTTTTCAGGTTGTCACTAAAATACCCTTCCTTTTAAAACATTCCCTTCGCGAGTATCAGCATATAGGATTGGACTGGCTTGTCACTATGTACGACAGAAAGTTAAATGGCATTCTGGCAGACGAGATGGGTTTAGGTAAAACTATACAAACTATCGCGCTGTTAGCACACTTGGCTTGCGAGAAGGGAAACTGGGGGCCACATCTTATAATTGTACCGACCTCCGTAATGCTCAATTGGGAAATGGAATGCAAAAAGTGGTGTCCTGGATTCAAGATATTGACGTATTATGGGACGCAAAAGGAAAGGAAACAAAAAAGAACAGGTAACAAGACATGAGAAGTTAAATAGACTTATAAATCACTATAAAATATAAGATTTCTTTCCTTTATATATATATATATATATATATATATATATAGTTTATTATTTTTATATATTTTTCTTTATCTTTAATTTACGATTCATTGATTAATCGCTATACCGACAACAGATATTAGTTCAATTTGACCAATATCTGTTTTATAGTATACAGCGAATAATAATCTATATATACTCTCTATTTAAACTCGCGTGTCAAGCGTCAATTTGACATTATGACATACGAATCCTGTCGGGAGAGACATTTAAATATTTAAATCAATAATATATAATTTAAACTAATTATTTATATTATAGAACGTCTAAATTTATTTTTCTGCGTTTACAGGTTGGACGAAACCGAATGCCTTCCACATATGCATTACATCTTACAAATTAGTGATACAGGATCACCAAAGTTTTAGACGGAAGAAATGGAAATATCTCATCTTAGACGAAGCGCAGAATATTAAAAACTTTAAATCACAGAGATGGCAATTGCTTTTAAACTTCCAGACACAACGGTAATTAATCTGTTATAACGTTATCTCATATTAAGTGTGGTAGAGTTGAATTTATAATTTGTGATAATCATAGTACAGTTAAAAAATAAGTTAAAATTCAGAATATATATAACAAATACATTTACTGAGTTTATAATTGAAAAATTTAGTAACAATGATTTAATGTTAGAAGTACCGTAACTGATTTGTTCCAAATTTATAAAAAAACATTAATGATTATTAGAACGATGTTTGTTAAGTTTATCTTGATTTACGATTCATTGATTAATCGCTATACCGACAACAGATATTAGTTCAATATGACTAATATCTGTTTTATAATATACAGCGAATAATAATCTATATATACTCTCTATATAAACTCGCGTGTCAAGCGTCAATTTGACATTATGACATACGAATCCTGTCGGGAGAGACATTTAAATATTTAAATCAATAATATTTAATTTAAACTAATTATTTATATTATAGAACGTCTAAGTTTATCTTGATTTTAACCAAGAAAAGTTTGATTTAATAATAATCCAATTTTTTCTGAAATCATAAAAGTTAATTTTAGAATTGAAAAAATTAAATTTACAAAGAAAATACTTATATATAGATAATATTAGACAAATTATAGAAAATTAATTTTATTTTTTATTCTCTCGAAATTTTAGAAAATAGATTGAATCATTTTTGCACTAACTCATTCGATTAAAAGTAATAGAAATTCTTTTATTTGAAACATTGCATTGCTTTCATTGTAGGAGGTTACTTCTTACTGGCACACCTCTTCAAAACAATTTAATGGAACTGTGGTCCCTCATGCACTTCCTTATGCCTAATGTATTTCAATCTCATCGTGAATTTAAGGAATGGTTTAGCAATCCTGTTGCAGGCATGATTGAAGGCAACAGCGAATACAACGAGAATATAATTCGTCGTCTGCACAAGGTCTGTACGTAGTTTTTGATCTTTCCTCTTTTTTTTTATTTTTTGATTTAATTTGTAATATTAAAGCTATTTGGTCTTATAAAATAAATTAATTTTCTCATTCAACATAGAAATGTATTATCACATACATTAAACTTTTTATGGTTATATTTAATACAAACAACATACTCCGTAGGTGTTGCGGCCATTTCTCTTACGACGATTGAAAACCGAGGTGGAAAAACAATTACCAAAAAAATATGAACATGTGCTAATGTGTCGTTTGTCAAAGCGTCAGAGATTTTTGTACGATGACTTTATGTCGAGGGCTAAGTAAGTGAATTCTTTAATACTATATCAGCGATCAAAGTTAAAAAAATACTTGATTTTTTTCTAATTAAAAGCGTAGTGATATTTCTTTCATTTTGTTCGTTCACAAAATATTTTATCTTTATTATACAGTAAAATGTAATACAAGTAAATAGAAATGTATTATTAATATATTCAAAAATATTGAAGGATATTAAAACTATTAATTACTGTTTTTATCATTACCAACAATTTATTCCTTATTTTGTTAAAGGACAAAGGAAACGCTCGCCAGCGGAAATCTGTTGAGTGTAATTAATGTGTTGATGCAATTACGAAAAGTATGCAATCATCCGAACTTGTTTGAGGTACGACCGACTGTTTCACCTTTTCAAATGGAGGCACTCGAATTTTTTACTGCCTCGTTGGTTTGGAGTGTGTTCGATCACGACCCCTTTAAGGTAAAACAATAATTGTGTTCACAATTCTGTCGCTTGTTTTATTGATATTCAAACAACCATTACTCAATTTTTGCAAATTGTGATTTGATTTTTACAGCACATCCAATTGTCTAGCCTGAACCTTTTGCTGTTAGATCTGGAATCGACGCTTAATGCATTTGTTGCACACAGAGTGACACGATTGCAAACGCCTAGAAAGCTTATAGAGGAAATAGATAGCCAGCCAGAATCAATGCCGAGGTGTCCGTCCGGCCGATTTAAGATCAATGTTAGATTATCGAATCAAGCGAAACCAGCGCAACCGTCAAATACACAGCAGCAAACGCCAACTAGGCTGAAGAATCTTGCTGGAATAATACCCACTCCAAGAGTGGGTACGTCCCTTTCGATAAAATCATTAAATACGAGCCAGGCTGGTTCGGGACGAGGTAAGTTTAGGATGGTGCTGTCATATTTTATACTATTAATATTTTAATGGTCTTATTAACATTTTCACGAAATATATGTATCTATATAAATCTTTCTTATTTTTAATACAATAATTCTTATTCTTAGGTGTTACGTTGAGAGTCGCAGGTGGTCAACAATTGCAAGGATATTCCGTACAATTAGTGCCACATCAGGGTAGCGTGAAAGGTAAGCAGTCCTTATTTTTTTCTCACTCTTTTTAGTAATTTATCTTTAAATTGTATGGTAGTTTCCAAACTTGGAAGTTTATCACCTATATTTATTTTGTAAATAATTTGAAATTTCTCTTAACAATAATTGTATCAGGTATTTTTTGCAGTTTTCTATACAAAACATTTCTATATGAAAAATGTTTAATTTTTTTATTCCACTTTTTACATGAAATATCTTATTGATTGAAGATTGTATAAAACAATTTACGAAAAAGCTTATAATAGTATGCTTATAAAAAAAAAAAAAGATTATTGTGTGCATCATTAATCAATGGTTGCTGTTGTTTCTCACTAGGCAATCATTTTTGCAGTGATGCTAAATTTATTGTTCCTTACTACCAGCTTGTTTATAATCTTTCCATTTATAAGCATTCTAAAGTTAAGGATACAATAATTCAAAATCAGCACATGTACTTGTAGTTAAACGCGAAATGTCTAAATATATTCATATTCATATTTTTGTTAAATTTTCTTACTTTTTTTTTTTTTTTTTTTTTTTTGCTAAGAATACCATATTTGAAAAATTGCAAGAATAGTCGTATTAATTTAACGTAGACAGTAGCAAATTTATCCGCGATTATGAACAATATATATATATATATATATACATACATACAGGGTTTGTCCGGAAAGTAATGCGTCGCATTTTTTTGTGACGCGACTATACATCGCAGAGCGATGGGACCGGTTGGGGAGGAAGGGGGGTACCCTTAGCTTTCCAACGGTAGGTCGCTCAATTGTTTCCATGCGCTTGGAGGGTTAGGACGGCTTATTCTGTGAACCTCTGCTTAGTGGTCGCGTCGAACTTGTGATGGAGAGAACGATAGAGCAACGCTATGCGATAAAGTTTTGCGTGAAGCTGGACAAGACGCCGCTGGAAACTTTTGAAATGCTCAAGAAAGTTTTCGGGGACGATTGCCTTTCCAAATCGCAGTCAAACAGATGGCACAAGATGTTTAGAGAAGGTCGGAAGGAGGTCGCCGACGAGGCCCGCGCAGGACGCCCGTCAACATCGCGAACGGACGACAATGTGACTCGTGTGCGCCAATTATTGAATTCAGACCGTCGAATAAATGTTCGCTTAATGTCGGAATTATTGAACTTGCCGAAAACGATTGTTCACGAGATTGTATCGGAAGACTTGGCCATGCGGAAGATTTGCGCAAAACTTGTGCCCAGAGTGTTGACCGATGCGCAAAAGCAACACCGAGTGGAAGTTTGTGAAGAACTCAAGCAGCCGCCCTACAGTCCCGACTTGGCCCCGGCGGACTTTTTTTTATTTCCTCGGCTGAAAAGGGAGCTCAAAGGACAACAGCTCGAGTCGGTTGACAACGTACAAGCTACTTCGACGGCCTCCCTGAACAGCATCCCAGTCAAGGAGTTCCAGAAATCTTATGACGCATGGAAATCGCGTTGGCAAAAATGTATTGACGCAGAAGGGTCATACTTCGAACAATTTTAAGTTGTTTTACCTATGCGATCAATAAATTCTTTTTTAAAAAAAATGCGACGCATTACTTTCCGGACAAACCCTGTACATGTTTTATAATACATATAAATTTTCTTAAAATAGCCATTCCCGTGGCAACACTGGGACACAATACTCAAAGTACTACCGTGACGTCCACCACGGCAGGGACAAACGCGCAAAGAATCACAGTGGGGAACGCTAGCCTCAGAGATGGCATTCAACGACTAACGACGCAGACCGTCACAGTCAAACAAGGTGATTCCGTCCAGAGAATAGCGGTGCCTAGTTTTGCACAGCTGGTTCGAACCTCTACCGGCGGACATATCCTTTTAACGTCGAATCAACAGAGTCCTAATACAGGTTTGTCTTCGCGCATTTTTGTTAAACCATTATAGCAGTGGCAAACGGATAAAAGAGAAAAAAAATGAATAACACGTTTTGTACCAACAGTTTCATTTCCAGTCATGACCTCCAGCGGACCTCCTGCTCGTTTCACAGTACTGAATACCAAATCGCTGATGGGTCTATCCACTTCGGCTGCCACGACAGTGAACAAGGTTGTCGGCGGTGTAGTGACGACGCCGAGCGGGCGACCCGTTATGAGAGTGCCTCCTCTGAACGTCACTACCTCGCAGTCACCATCGAGTGGAAGTAGCCAACAGCAAACCAGTCAACAATCGTCATCGATACGCATCACTAGACAGGCTCAGAAGGAAGCCAATAAAGTACAGAGTAAATCCGAACAGCCCAAATCCGAATTTTACTTGGTAATTAAACACAGATATAAGATATGGATTTTTTCATAGCAATTTAGGACTAGAGAATCAATCGTTTAACTTTCGAGTACTTACGTCGAGTCAATTTTATTCTTTATTTGATTTTTTGTTTACTTTTTTGTTTTTTAAGAATAATGAAAGTTTTACTTAATGAAATTTTTAATTATTCCCCGTTAGACGGTACTTAGATAATAGAGATTTTAACATTACTGATTGCTCTTTACAGCCGCAGTTGGAGGAAGAAAGACGACAGAGAAGGCAGGCCAAACTGCATCTTACAGCAAATATCAATGAGCGGAGATGCGCGGCATGTCCACTTTACGGCGAAGATCTTTTCATGGCCTTGAGAATTGGCAAGCCTACGACAGCTTGTCGCTGGCACAATGGTTGGGTGCATTGCGCGACGGCTAAAAAGAACATTCATACTCGCAAGGAATTCTTTTCATGCACGGAGGCGCTCGCTGAAGCCATCAAGAGCACAGAGCAGATTGTTGAAGAGCTAAAGGAAGTCTTTGAAAGGTTAATATATAATACGATACAATTTAAAAAATTAATATTGATTATACATTAAATATTATCGATGAATCAATTTTTTTTTAATTTATATTAATGCTTGTGTGTGGGAAATTTTCTTTGATTAATATTTTGTAGCAAAAACTTAATTAGATATCTCTTCTCTTTTAAATTGTTAGTATTGAATAGTCTGGTTTAAATATCTCGCAAATTAAAATTCTGTCAATAGCTGCTTTAAATTGATAGAGGAATAAACATTCTATTTTGTTATTTTTTTAATATAATTTCTGAAACAAGATAAATTTTTTTGTTATATAGATTTGTGGTCCACGTGCCGGCTGTGCGCGCGCCGACGCCTCGTTTCCACGTATCCCATCCACCGCCTCACAAATTGTGGGGTGAACGTCAGCTACGGACCGAACTGCAAAGACAACTGTCGCCGAAATTGGCATCGGTTCATACGATCTCGAGTCTCATGCTCACACAATTCCCTGATCCCAGACTTATTCAGTACGATTGCGGCAAGCTACAGTCGTTGGATCGTTTATTGAAGAAGCTGAAGTCCGGAAATCATCGGGTTCTAATATTTACGCAAATGACTAGGATGTTGGATGTTCTCGAAGCTTTTCTGAATTTCCACGGACACATATATCTACGATTGGACGGCACCACTAGAGTGGATCAACGTCAGGTAGCGATCAATTTATGTCGTTAACAAGATACTATAATGTAGATGTATTATACACATCTAAATTTTTGAAATGTTGATTTTATTTGGGATTTAATCTTTCGTATAAATTAAAAGAAAACATTGTACTTATAATAGATGACAATTAAAAGTATAACAAAAGCATATAAAATTTTTAATGTACGAGACATGTTTTTGCCGCAAAATTTTATATCGTAATGTTAAAAGAAAAAGATAACTGAAATTGCTAACGATGCTAATGATGCTAACGATTTGACACGCAGATTCTGATGGAGAGGTTCAATGGTGACAAGCGAATCTTTTGCTTTATTTTGTCAACGAGATCTGGCGGTGTCGGTGTAAATCTTACGGGAGCGGACACAGTAATATTTTATGACAGCGACTGGAATCCCACGATGGACGCCCAGGCGCAGGACAGATGCCACAGAATAGGACAAACGCGAGATGTACATATCTACAGGTATACATGCGAATTAATATTATTAATGAAGAAATGATTTTAATAAAAAATTTATTTTAATAACTTAAATTATTTATATTAAAAATCTATATAAATACATTCGATTGTATTATTAGCATTATTGAATAATTAACAATTAGAGTAAAAGTTTAGAAAAAATATATTTATTAATCCTAATTAATAATATAATAGCGAATATATAATTTAACGATTTATATTTCAGATTAGTCAGTGAGAAGACTGTAGAGGAGAACATTCTGAAGAAGGCGAATCAGAAGAGATTACTAGGCGATCTCGCAATTGAAGGCGGAAACTTTACTACGGCATATTTCAAAAGCGTAAGTACTTCAATTGGAAGATTTTGCATCTTACGAATTGTTTCTTCATATTTCAATATATTAAAAAGAAATGTGAAATAATATTTGAAGTTAATTTTTATTTATTTGTTATAAGTTTAAAACTTTCTTTGAGTTACAATATTAAAATTTAAGTTTATGATTGAAATTAAAATTGACATGCGCTGCACGAAATATCCTGTTTCAATGTTGAAAACGATATATTTCGATTACATAAAAATTAAATACTCGCAATTGTTCCTCACCCATTTACCTTTTGTATGATAAAAATTATTTTCAGTCTACCATTCAAGATCTGTTTAATATCGATCAATCGGAGAACGATGCGTCTACACGAATGGCTGAAGTATTGGAACAGACTCGAGAACGAGAAAAAGCTTGGAGCAAAGAAGCGGTAGCAGGATCCTTTCAGAGCGGTAACTCGAATCAGCATACAGAGGAGAAGGCTGCCATTGGTGCTCTCGAAAATGCTCTTGCCGCCGCGGAGGAAGATCTCGACGTTCAAGCTGCGAGAACTGCGAAAGCGGAAGCTGTTGCTGATCTCGCCGAGTTTGACGAGAACATTCCGCTGGAGGACGGCGACAAGGATGAGACGCAGGTCAGCAAAGCGGAGCAGGAGGTTCAGAATCTAGTGGCTCAGGTAGGATAAACATTTCTCGTTGACTCGCTGGGTCAGTTGAGTCGTTTTTATTTGTTTCATTTGATCGATTATTGTCATTTTTAATACTTGTGTATTAACTCTTTGACTCTGTAACATTTTATTTAGCTTACTCCAATTGAGAGATATGCTATGAAATTCGTCGAGGAGGCAGAAGGCGCGTTCTCCGCGGCACAGTTAGCTGCGGCCGAACGGGAGCTCGAGGAACAGAAGAAGGAGTGGGAATTGGACCGGTTGCGGGCGCTGCGCGAGGAGGAAGAGCGGCGGATGCGGCTGGCCGACGACGACGAGAAGCCGCTCACGTTCGGCCGCGAGGATGCGCAGAATCAGGTCAATAGCACCGCCACTAAAGGCGGCAATTCTAAGCGATTAGTTAGTAAGAGGCTAGCAGTACCGAGTAGAAGGGGTTTGCGTAGACGTGGCGGTAGTAGAGTAGGTCGCGCCCGTCTCGAGTCTTCGTCTGAGAGCGAAAATGAAACCACTAGCACCGAATCAGACTCAGAGTCACAGGAAGAGGACATAGTCGAGGATAGCCTCGACGAGGAATCGAGTCACACGGAGAGTCAGAGTCAGGGGGATGAGGAGGAAGAGGGAGAGGGAAATGGAGGCGAGGAGAAGGAGGAGAAGAACGACGAAGAGGAAGAGGCGGGTGAGGAAAGCGAAGGCGGGAGGGCGAACGATCGCGATTATTCCGAGCGAAGGGGAGGTTTCTCGAGGCGAAAGGGTCGTTTAGCAGGATCCGGTTCCTACAGTCGAAATCACTTCGATCTGAATAGCCCTCGCACTAGATCTCGCGGAAATGTCCACATCAATTTGTGGACACTGGACGTAAGTCCGATTCTGCCCGGTGTAAAGCCAAATCGTCGGCAGCGCAAGAAATTTCACCGCGCTAAATCCGAGGAAACCGTATTCTCATCGTCGTCGGACACGAGTCCCAAGAAAAGCGTACGTATTAACATGAACGCTAAGTCAGTTCAGTCCATCAATTTTTGTCAGAACGCGAAAATTTCCGAGGATGTGGAGACTGAGCGAGATTTGACGAGAAATGATGTGGACTTGACTGATTCTAATAGCGTCGAGCAACGAACTGCTAATTCTAACGCGGAGCGACCCGCCGACGATCACGTAGATCCGATAACGCCAGTTGTTAAAACGCAATCGGAGCAAACGAAAACGTCGGAATTGAATTCGGATAATGCGGAGAAAAATATGAAGGAGAAAAATGATGAGAAAATCGTGAACGGCGCTAATTTAATAACCGTCTGTTCTGTTCAAGTAACGCGGTGCTCGCAAAAAATGTTGTCCACTACCCAGAAAAAGTTCGAACCTGAAGTAAATCGCAACGAGGATGCCGAGAACCTTAACGTGAATGTTAGCGCGAGGGATTCTCGATCCTCTCCGAGCGCAACACAATCGGACGCATCCTTGAAATGTTCGAAAGAGTTGACGACCAAGTCCAAGTCCGAGTTTAACGTGTCAGCCAATTCTTTGTGCAACAACGCGCGAGGAAAATTAGCCGCCGCGACGTCGCGAGAATCGGGAAGCACCGAATCGTCTTCGAGCCGTTCGATTCCCCTCTTGCGATCGAAGACGTTGCGAAACGCAAGTCCTGACGTGGTTGTTGAAAAGAATCCCAAATCGGTCGCGATATCTCGTGTTTCAATCGCGCAGCGGAATTGTAAAACGAATGCCGATGATTCTCGTAGTAATCCGGTCGAGGATGAAGATAAGAACGGCACGCGCGATGATGCTAATGACAATACCGAATCGATAGTATCCTCAACGCGAAAGTATACTAGTCAGAGACACAATTCGAAGAGTGATAATTTAAACGTCGCCTCGTCGCAAGAGACGGAAAAGGCAACAGGTGATCCGGTGTCGAATGCACCTGACTCTCTAGCCGCTTCGGTAAAGAGCGAAGCTAATTTGATCGAATATAAATATAAGATACGAAGACTAGAAGTGACGATTCCGCGTAGCGTGATAACTCGTAGTTCGAAAAATTCTTCGGCCGTCAGTAATCATTCCGAGGAGAGTAACGTGCGGTTAACAGACGTCAAGGTCGAGAAGGTCGATTCGACATCGGAGATTAAAAGCGGGTCGCAAACGAAAACGAATCAAGGAACACGAAAAGTTGATACGACGGATTCGCAGCACTCAGTCACCGAACAGAGCAGAGTCACGCGATCGATAGCCGCTCCGTCGACGCCTCCACCTTCAACTGGCGGTGACGAGACGACAAATTCGAAATTACCGGTGCCGAGACGACGACCGGACACTCCCTTTCCGCGATCGGTCAGAAGATCCGCGGTAATTGAGAGCAGCACTCCTGTGAGAGTCTCGCCTGGTCGAGGCGAGAAATACGTAACGCGAAATTCGAAGCAGGGTCAGGACAATGGTCTGGTGAGTCCGATGATATTCAGACGCAGCAGATCGATACCGCCGATGAAGCCAGACCCTAAGGAGCCGGTCGTTGTTTCGGCACCAAAAACACGCCGTCCAGACACTCCACGACCTAACGTGCCCAATTACAACAACGAACCAGTTTCTAGAGTGACGCGCTCGGGATTGACTTTAAATTCCTCGGCGAAGTCGGTTTCATCGCCGTTATTCCTTTCTCCCACTTCCGTGCTTAAAACAAGCGTCAAGCAGTCGCGAATCTCGCCGACGAGCAGCGAAAACGAGACTCCCACGAGTTTGGTGTCGCCGTCCTACGAGAAACCTCAGAGAACCGCCAAGGTTGTGGCTATTCTCACTATGGATATGAGAAATCACAACAGTAACAAGACTATTTCGGGTCAGCCCAAGTCTGCTGCTAATTGCGAGACGAAAGGCCAGGACAAGGAGTTTCTCGTGCCGCGATTGTCGCTGAGAAATCAGGAGATCGATCGCGAGGAAGGCGATTCGTCCGACACCAAGTCCAGGAGACTGCGCAGGGAATCGAAACGCAAAAATGCTACAGCGCCGGAAAACGAGGAGACTAATTCCGACGATAGCGACAGGGAACCGACGCAGAAGAGGTCCTTTCGCTCGCATGTCTCTCCCTCGCCATCCTCCTCTTCCACGGTGACACGCTCTGACAAACTGAGGAACGCCACAATATCTTGAGTCTCGCTAAAGTATTGTCGCGATAGTGTAGTCGTCGTCGAAGAGCCGAGTATCCCTCGAGTCGGGAATACTGTTCGATTACTCGGTCATGTAGTCGATTGCTACTACTGTCTACTACTCAGTCCGCTTATTGCGATGCCGGTTTTGCGCTCAATATTTGTCGCATGATATTTTCTCGTCTTGATGCTTCTTTTATTAATATTCTCTTTTGATGTGATATATATGAGAAATTATCAGCATTTCTTGCGTTATATAAAAAGATAAGTTTTGTGCATATGCACATATACATATGTATATTTACGTTTTGGAACGATAAAATTGCAGGTGCATTTCTTGTAGATTTGGACGAATATTTTTTTATTTATGTTTCTTTTGTAGGACTCGAGAAAGGAAAAGTTGTTGTTTCGTAAAAAATGAAAAAATTAAAAAGTAAAAAAAAGAAAAAATCGCAATTTGTGATAGTTTGAGGTAGATATCTAAACTACGCATTTTTCAATTTGATCAAATCTCTTAGATTTCTTTTGTTATATATATATTTTTTATCGGAGAACTCGTTTCTCTTATAAAGAAATATAAAAATGTGAGAAGCAAATAGTAAAATAAGGGTAGAGAAGTAAATTATTGTTATTTATGTTGTAAAATAACGCCAATTATATTCAAGATTATTATGAGAGATTAATAAGAGATGCAAAATATCATGAGATAAATGTCTGATTGAAAGAAATCTTAATCTGGCATCTTAGAGACGCCTGTGCGTTATACGCGCGACTTGATTATGCGTCTTTTGTTCGTACTTATCTCATATTTAGCGCTCAATGGTTGTTTGTATTTCACTTTGAAGTGAACATGGCAATTTTTATCAAAAAACATTTAATAAAAGGTTTTAAATGAACTATATAATCATTAAATGAAATTAAATTACATAATTATACATAAATAAAATCAATTTATCAATTAAATCATGAGACTAAAATTTCGAATCAAGGAAATTGTACAGTATGCATAATCGAGAAACAACATTTATGAACAAGAATTTATACATGAGAGAGAGAATCTGAAAAATAAGAGAAAACAAACACGTTTAGCGCTAACGTGAGACACGAGTACGCATCTTTGTACATAATCACATTACGATTACGATAAACAATGCGTTTCCTTTTTGGATTGTATCGCGGGTACACGTGTAATATTTGTAGCGTTGTAAATTGCGTGTCTCCGATCCCGCCTGCCCACTCTCTTATCTCATTTTATTTTATTTCATTTTATTTTAATTTTTTTGTTTTTAAGGTAGGATCTGTTTCTTCTGACTGCACTTTTCTATGGTCTCTGATCTGTTTCGCGTTCGCCTCTCATTTCCGCTAAATATCTCGTGTTGAATTTAAAAGAAAAAATAAAAAAATAGAAAAGTGCAGACGGCAAAGGTGGATTTTTAGGCGCGCGTGCATGACGATTTATATAAAACGGTGTGACAAGTGAAACAGATGTATGTATTATATTAGGGAGAAACGAACTAGTGTAAAACATTAATCGAGCGATTCTCTAGTGCGCCATATGAAACTATTCATACAAACACACATACACGGATGAGAAACGGAATAAGGATATAAAGAAGTGTACGAGATAAAGTGCGTGATTCGATTCCACTTTAATTAGTTGTTTCGGTGGTTAAGTCTGAATTTAATGAGTAAAATTATAAAGGAAATTTTGATATATGGCGTGGATTTAATTAATAATGATCAGGGTTGCGTGGTTTAGCTGCTGTTTATTCGCGAGAAAAGAAATTTCAGTTATGCTGTCTTAAACTACGTAAGTCACAGAACATTATATTACGTATTATCGAATGCATAAGGATATCCTTGCTCCGCTCTTACTACCCTTGCTCCTCTTCCTCCTCCTGACACACACATGCACATAATGTAATATTTAAGTTGCGTGCCTGTATTTTGTATGATCGAGCGAGAGTTCGAAGAAGATGAAAAAAAATAAACGAGATATTCCTTGCTATATATATATCTATATATCTATATATAGAAATGTGTTCCCTTATTTCTTGATGCGTTTCCAAGTCTGTGTCGATCAAAGGTTCAGTTCCGTTTTGGTGTCAAATCATTCTCAGCTCAGTGTGCTTGTTTATATATTTATCGCGGTTTAATAGAATTTTTTTTCTCTCGATATCGGTTTGGTGTGGCAAGGCTATCATGACCGCACATTTTTCGAGAAGAAATATGTATCTTAGTATATGCGTAGAAAAAAAGAAAGAGCTCCAAATAAAATTGTTCGTAAAATGGCACCAAAACACTGCCTTTGCCATTCCAAACTTGGAGTCCGCAGCAAGATATAAGCAGGCACATGAGTGAGATACGTTATTTATGCGTTACATCACATGTATCTCATCCTATATATATGATAATAATAATAATATAATAGAAGTAAAGGAATATATCGTGAAGAACTCTTTCTCTTAGGATGAAAGGAACGAGAACCTTTGAGCGTCTACAGGATATCCCATAATCATTGTCCTATACATAGTTTTCATTATGAATTTTTTAGTTGAATTCGAGATTGATTTCTCTTTGGAAAAATTTAGATTTTTTTATTGCGACTTCATATTAACATTAAATTTCTTTTCTGTGGGAAAAGAATATAACTTCAAAACTAATAACTAAAAATGAATTTTTACAAATGTAAATATATGAAAATCATATAATTTATTGTAATTATAATTATATATTGAGAACTTTTATGCTTTAATATTATAATTGTAGAGAATTATGCATCAAATATTAATTTGTTAAAATTAATGAAAATATAAGAAGGAATAGCTTTTTGCAAGCTCTCTCTCTCTCTTTAATTTTGATTAATTGTTGAAAATTTACTCGTCGAGTTCGTCCTGTAGAGTCTCAGAGAACTCTTATCATTTATTATATTATATATATATACGACGCGTTATATATTATTTATATATAATTGTTAAAAATTCAGCCTCGTTCATGATTTAAACAAAGACAAAATTTCTAAGCAGGTTTACTAATAATTGGAAAGGATTAGAAATGGATTATTAAAAAAAGATATCGATAGTGGTAGAAAATATCAAGCAAGTTTAGCGAGCAAAGAGACAGACTTTATATGGGAGCGAACAATCTCATATTTCATAATCTAACTCATATTTAACTTTAATATCTTGCAGATTTGGTTATCGGAACATACTATGGAACAAATGCCGGTGAGTTCAAAACAAATAATTTTGAACAATAATAAATTATTGGGAACAATTTTTACGCCTTATTATATAAATTTGTAATAAAGATTAAACAAAATGTGAGGAAGGTGACTATTAAATATAAATTGCACATATTCGAACTTATTTTTATATTTTAATAGATATATTTTATTAATTATTAATTAATTTTGTCAAAAATAAGTATAACATACATACATTTTAAGAAATTAAAGAAAAATAATATACGACTGTATATATATATATATATATATATATATATATATGAAGATTTGTAGAGGAAATAAAACCTTTGTCTGTAATTGTATAGAATGAAATATAATGGAAATATTATTCAATCTGCTTTCAGAAAAATACTTTATTTAATTAAATTACTTTTTTTTTTATTTAGGTTTAATTAATATAATGTTACTTTTTTCAGATGTGGTGCCCGCCAACTCCTCCTACAACGGATAATGACGTTTATATTGATTACACTATGAGCTTTCTTTACGAGGATGTGCCTATGACAGAGGCTCAGTTACCGCCAATTTACGTGAAGAAGGAACGTAACAGAAGCAGGATCGAAGTCAATCTTACTGATGATGGTGAGTCAATTTTATTCATAGATATCGTAGAAATATTTATTTCCTGAAACATTTTATAATGAAAAATTATCTTTGTCATTACATATTATATCAATCTTTGTATCTATCAGTTGAAAATATAAACGAGTCCAATGATAAGGTGTAAATTTCAAGGAGAATTTAAAGTTATCTTATAATTTGTTTTATTATAAATCAACGAAAATTTTAATTTTTAATCGCTAATTGCTTTCCTCACAGGTTGTCGACCGGTCAAGATGATGCGGCACAAGGAGGAGTCCGTTTATGCGCCGAGATCTCTCTTTGATCGACCGACACCGGCGGTGATGAAGATGCGCCGCGATATGAAACTGCACAAGTATCGCGCGATCGTGCGTCCACCGGTGACGGTGTTGAAGAACTCGTCGCACGTCACAAAGAGCTCGCCAGAACCGGATCATGCGATAGACTGGTTGATCTATGAGGAATGGGGTGTGCTACATTCCATCCAAAGTTATCAAGGCTTACCGATGAACGCAGTAACCGTCTCGCCGGGTCATACACCCAACTGGGACATGGTGGCTGACAGTGTCAATAACGGCACGCGATTGCATAGATCACCCAAGCACTGCAAAGGCAGATACGAATCTGTGTTAGTACTGAGGGAAGAGGGTAAGCCAATGTACGATTCTCCTCCGAAGAAGCAGAAGAAACAGAAGACGAGCGTTTATAAAACGCCGCAAGTCTCCGAGGTAGGTGTTTACTCTGACATCAATAAAATTGATAAAGAAAATGTGTGTGCAAAACTAATCCTACAAAAGGATTTATCTGTACGAGTTTTGTCTTCTCCATTCAAAAGTCTCTCATTTATCAATTACACGATAAAAAAGAGCATTAAATAAACACAAAAATTAAATAAAAAAACAATTATATGAATTATATGATTTTTATTTCACTTCTTTTAGCAACAGAGTAAGAGCAACAGACCGATGAGAACATCTCAATTACACAATCAGGACAGGAATAATTCGTTCACATCAATGGGTATCCAGAGATATGAAACCATAAAGTCTGTGTCCAATAACCGAACACCTACTGTGAAACCACCATTGTTGGTGAATCCACTATTAAGGAATCCCACCGTAGCGGGTGGTCCCCTGGTCGAATGCGGTATACAAATCGACAACCCGATGGGGCCTGTGGACGTTGCCGCTCGACGCGCAGATAGAATCGCCAAGGAAAAGATGAAGCATACGGTTAGTAGCATAAGATTCTTTGCTTATATAAATAATTTGCATTTTTTATCTAAACAGAATTGACAGAGAAAAATAATATATGCGACATAGCAGCATCTAATTTTTTCCGAATTTGTAATTCAATTTCAAAACATATAGAATCAATACTAACATTTTTGTATTCGCTATACTAACACATCCAAGGAGATCTCGTTAATTAAATTCGTAGGTTTTTACTTCGGAACAGCAACAACAGGTCGCAGCACGGCTCTTGCAACATCAGCAGCAACAACAGCAAGTCGCCCAGCAGCAGCAGCAGCAACTAAAACTGCAGCAGCAGCAGACTCAACAACAACAGACTGGACAGCAAGTAGCCACGAATTCTGGATCGCAAATGCATCAGCTTACCCAAGCGATTTCATCTGTGAACAGTGCTGGCGCTATGACCAATGTGAAGGCCGCTGCAAATTTAACCAATGTGGCAACCACGACAGTGGTCACTACAACGGTGAAGACTCGACCTGGTGGAAGTGGACAAGTAATCATACAGGACGCAAGAACAACGTCAGCGAACGTTGCGAATTTGCAACAAGCCGCTCAACGAATCGCCACAGGCAGTTTGTCATCCACTGCTCAAGCTTCCACTAACGTAGCGGGTGGTCCAAAGAGTGGATTGGTGGGCGTCGCGATGGCTACGACAGGAAACAAGACCCCAACGGCGGCGCAGTTGCAGTATTACAGACATCAACAACAAGTACTGCTGCGTCAACAACAATTCAATAAGGTGTTACAAACGCAAACTACTGGTGGTCAAAAATTATCCGTCGCGATACCGACCACGGCAACCGCGACAGTGCAACAGCAGCAGCAGCGGACTGTGACAGCGGCTAATTTGATGAAACAGCAGGGTATCCCCGCGGTAGGCACTGCGGCAGCGCAGACCGGTGTGAGCAAACAAACAATGGCCAGACCGGTATCTGAGACGGAAATGGCACTGATTAAGCGGCAGGCGCTGCATCAAGCGAAGACTGCGGCCGCGGCAGCTGGACAGGTGAGTGTACAAAAGAGATATATTTTTTGAATATAAAATTCAAGGCAAAAGGCTGAAGTGTTCAATCTATTCATTCTGCACGTTGAGCAGTGATATTCTTTCATATTTTTAATTTTGCGAAAGTAATCGACTGCGATTTTCTTGCAGTTGCCTCCAACTGGACTCACACCGGCGCAGATCTTTGCTCAAGCTGGTCTGCAGGTACAACAGATGGGTACCTCTGCGAGTGGTACTCCGGTAGCGACTCTCGTTAAGGCAGCCAACGTGACGGGTGTTCGTACTGGAACACCTCAACAGATTCGTCAGCTTGCACTTCACCCACAAATTCTCGCTCAAAGGAAACTTGCAGGGCAGAAAGTCGCTGCGCAGCTCGGTAAGGGAGGTATGCAGACGCAATTGATCGTGCAACCGACGAAATCGCTACCCGTATCAATGCAGCAGATCCAGCAAGTGATAAAGCAAGTGCAACCTCCGGCGGTGCAACAATTTCCCCACGTACGTAAAATAATTTTATTCTATGTACGTAGAAATAAAAAAAACATTTTCTCTTCTATCTTTTTTAAATATTGTAATCTGTTTTGTGCTGTTGTCGTGAAAAAATCGCTAGTAAAGCTTGCTATTTCATTACTCTTAGATTCTTCGATGATCTGTTGTGAAAATTATTCGCTGAAAATTCTGATTGTTGTTAGACTATGAAAAAAGATAAAAAAATATTAAATATTTTCGAAATTTTAGAGCAAAAAGATGAACGGATTGTTTAAAATGATACAATATTACAATCGCAGGTTTCGACGGGACAGGCAGCGTCTCAAGCTAATCCAATAGTATTAACTAAGTCGCCATTGTCAACTCGCGTGATACCAGTTGCACCCGGATCTCTGAAACAGACCATCCAAGTAGTGACTGCTAACAATGCGCAACTGCGGCAGGCCATGCCTATTCAAGGAAAACCGATTGCCAGTGCGGTAAGACGAAGTCCTGGCCCAGGTGCCAGCCCGGGCTCGACTTCCGCTACTTCTGGCTCTACCACCGGTGCAGGTGCCAGTCCAGGTGTAGGTTCTGCCTCTTCATCCATCGTTCCGAGTCTAGCTTCTTCACCCGGTCTTAGCCAAGTAAGATTACAAACCATAACGCATTCGCAACAAATGCAGAAACAGCAGACACAGCAGCAGCAACCGTCTCAACAGGACACGCAACCAAAATAACTTTGTATCACGATTGGATGGCAATCCTTTAAATTGAATTGGGAAACTCAGAAAGTGTATTATGTGGTTTCGTACGTTTTAGGAAATATTGCAGATATTTGTGATTTGTTTTAGCTTTTTATTATACTTGGAATATGCATAAAAAAGATTAAGAATAGATATGAAATAGTTTGCGATATTGTGCGGTATTATTAACAAAAGAAAACTTAAAACAAAATATTTTAAATATAGTTAGAATTTTTTTTCAATTAATTGCTAATAGAAATAAAAATATTAGTTCAAATATGCTAAATAAAATCAATTATATGGACAAAATAGAAAATATTAGTTTGCTAGGAATAATAATTGAATTTTGAGTCAATTATTGTCAAAAAAAGAAAGAGATTAATTTACCAAGAATAAAATATTAGATATTCTGGTCGATTATTGAGAGAGAAAGAAAGTAAATTTTATGTTCTGTAAATAATTATTAATCTAGATAGATATATATGTAAGTTTCTGATTTTCTCGATTCAATTAAACATTAAACAATTTCGAGTTAATTTTTTTTGTTTTTTTCTCCTTTCAATATTATTATAATCCTAATATAGATGGAACTATGAAGTTTGTTAATGATAACATGTACCACACATTAAAGATATAATATAAAGCATTCCAAGATTTGCTGCAAACAGCTGTATCTTGATGTTACATTTTGTGTCACAATGTAAAAAGTATATTACAATGAAGATGAGAGAATCGATTCATTCGTACTCTAATATTGCCATTTTATTTTTGCCTTTGTAAAGAATAATTAAAATTTTTAGGATTTTTTATATCTTAAAACAATGGCAAAATAAATACCGAACGATGTTTAGTACAGAGCATGACTAAAGTAAGAAAATAAAATGATACTCCAAAGAAAGTTTATCAGTTTCTAGCAACATTGAATTATTACTACATTACGAGGAAGAAACTGTAGGGCATATTATTTCAAATTTATATTATAAACGCGTTGATACGGTCCAAACTTATGAAAATGAGTATCAATTGAATGTTACTATAAGCAAAACTATTATTTATTTATTATGAAACAAATGTCTGAAGACGTTATTTTCTTCTTTAAAAATTGTTTAGTGCAATGTGCGATGCTTTTTTAAAGGAAAATTTTTTGGAATTCTGAGCGAAAAGCATTAAACGGCGAATAAATATAGCAAGAAATTATTTTCACAATTAAAAATTCAAATAATTTCAATTTTTATAGTAAAAATTCTTAGAAAGTTTGAAAAAAGCGAATCATCTGACTTTAAACAATTGATTTTTACAATTGTTATTATGAACAAAATTAACGAGATCTTAATTTCTCTTTATTAGTAAAAAATTAAATGCGTTCAAACTATGCTCATTTCAGTCATTTTTTTTAATCCGCTGGCGGAATTCGATTTTTGTTCGTAGTAAACATTGTAAAAGCTGTTCTACATTATCGAATTAGATTATTTTAATTCTGTCTATTAAGTATTCATGATGTGAAATATGTGAACTTGACATTGTATATATTTTACAGAAGATAATACTTAGCGCACTATATATATAGTTTTTTCTTTTCTTTTTTTTCGGATGGAGGAGTAGATTATAGCGAAGAAAAATACTTAACATCGTCGATGAAATTACACAAAACAATCTTCAAGAGATGTTTAAAAATTATTTTAGAAAATCGACTAGATAATTAAGACGTCGCTTAAATGTTAAAAAAAATTAAAAAATTATGATATCTTCTATACAAAGATCGAAAAGATTAAGCGATCTACGATGTTTATAAAAGATCTCTAAAAAATGAAGATTTTTTAAATGTGTTTGAAGAATGCACATAAAAAAGCTAGGGTTTTTTAAATGTTTATTTAAAAACATTTTCTCTCTCTCTTTATATCTGAGGAATTTAGAGCGCTTTCTTAGGTTTAGATGAGATCTGAGAAATTGAAACATTATTTGGGCGTCTCTTGAAGACTTATACTAAATTGTATCTCTGTATTTATGGTTGCCCGTAGGAATAGCGAAATTATTCTGAGAATACAATGTTTATACTAGGGTCATGATAAAGTTACATGCGATACGATACAGGGTTTTTATTCCGTTTACTTACAGTGTGAGCTGTTTTGGATGTAAACATGTGTACATCATTGAAAGAAATTATAACGTTCGATTAAAAAATCAAAAAGGCAGAAAGAGAAATAATTCTTCCTAAAAAAAAAAAAAAAAAATGTTTCCATATATCAAATAAAAGCAAAGAAGACGAAAACAAACAAGTTGTTTACTAAATATTTTATTCTATACATTTGATTAAGAATATATGAATGTTGAGTGTGCCACATACCTTTCTTTTTTTTTAAGTATTTTTTTTGTTTATTAATGCTGCCCTGTACGTACCTGTTTGCGACATGTATGTATATATGTATGTATAATTTGTGTATTATAAATGCTGAAATAAATCTCATCAAGCAACGATGATTAAGAAAAGATTAATATTGGGTGTGCCACATGATACAGCCTTGTATTTTTTCCTGTTCATTAAAGGTGCCCTGTACGTACGTATTTGCAGCATGTATGTATATATGTATGTATAATTTGTGTATTATAAATGCTGAAATAAATCTCATCAAGCAACGAAACAACGGGAGATTTTTATTCTGAGTTTAGAAAATCATTAGCATCAATTCATATTTTTTTAAAAACACATTCAAAAACGTTACATAAAAAAATAATTTCATGATTAATAATAAATAGGAAAAATAAAACTATAATATACACGAAATATATGTACTCTTCTTACATTAAATGTTTACTTATTAAATAGTTTAATTTTAATTTTGAGAACATCTTGAAGTGATTAATTGAGTGATGTAGATTATGCCACAATACTCATGCGTAAATAGTTTAAGTAAATGAAATTCTTTTTGATCAAAATTGATAACATTTTGATTGATTCTTTTATTTTATTTGATGTCATCATCGATTGATAAAAACGTATACTTATGACTCGTTAATTTTGATGTATAATGTAGTCCACAGTCGACTAATTATGTAATAATGGATTCATCTAAATCGAATCATAAACTCCCTTCCTCACTCATACATACATGTATATATGTACATACATGAAATCATATATTTCTATATATTAATTTAATTTTATTATATTTATGCGCGAATCGAGATCATATTGAATTAATGTAAGATTATATAACGAATTATATAGAAGATGATTTTATCTTAATGCATGATCACAGTATAATTATATAAAACTCCATATCAGATTTTCTCCCCCCCTCCGATTTTTTGGCTTCATTGTTTTCGTCTATTGGTTTACAACGATTCCTATATCTCAATTGATAGATCTATCACAAAGCTAAATTATAAAAGCCCGATCGCAAATCCATGGAGTCATGTATTCAAGAAATTTCAATGCAAAGTATACACATACATCATGCTGACTAGTTTTGTGTTGATCGTTATAATAATAATACTTTTCTGGATATATGCCAAGTTAGTATAAAGAAAAATACGGTAAATTAGTATTTAAAATATTAGATTGATCAATATAGTTATACTTATTTTAATACAATTCATTTTAATGTATTAATCAAATATGTATTTAATAATTTTAGCTATATCGAATATCATCTATTAAATGTGTATTATATTTTTTTGGTATATGTATTGGTCTAGATATGGTCTAATTGTAAAATTTTAATTTGTAAGTAATTTTTATTATGTATTTGTTCTATTGCTCCATTTGCTCAGATATAAATTAAGCTACTGGAAACAACGTGGCGTCGAATCTCTCACGGGCGATCTAATCTTCGGCAATTTTAAGAATGCCGTACTCTTCCGTTCTGCGCCAGGGTGGCACATCGGTCAGCTGCATAAAGCGGCCCGTAGGGACGCGCCCTTCATCGGCTTTTACATTTTTCACAAGCCATGCCTGCTATTGCGCGATCCAGACATCATAAAGCAGTTCTTGATTCGCGACTTCGACAATTTCTGCGATCGCCATTTTGCTGGTTCCAATCAGAGGGACAGTATCGGCATGAAGAATCTGTTCGGTCTGAAGAATCCGACCTGGAAATACCTGCGAACTAAGATCACACCTACACTGACCAGAGGCAAACTGAAACAGATGTTCCCGCTGATGACAGAGATCGGAGAGCCAATGATGGATTATCTCAAAAGTTATCCAGCAGATTGCGATGACGTGAAGCTGGTGGATGCCCAAGAACTCAGTTACAAATATACGACCGATTTGATCGCTTCGATTGCACTCGGTACCAAGATGGATTCTTTCCACTATCCGAATGAAGAATTCTCTAGCGAAGGTATTCCTTTTGGATTTAATATATCATTTATGTACATATATAAATAAGATCGAGGTAACAACAAAAGTTAATTATACTAAATATCAATTAAAATTCAAATAGCGATCGAAGATTCTAAACAATGTTGATTTAACTCGAGTATGATTTTACAGTTTACGAATTCTTCCACGGATTCAGAAGGATGGTAGCCCTTGTGACAGTGTTTTTCATACCCGAACTGGTAGAAATAATTGGTACGAGAATTCTTGCAAACTCTTCATTCGTAAAGAAAGTCTTCTGGAGCGCTATGGAGAATCGCGAAAAGACTGGCGAAAAACGAGGCGATTTTATCGATTCATTGCTCCAGTTAAAGCACGACAAACAGAACCCCAATTATAGTAAGTTTGAATCACGATTTATTTTATTATATATGTTTCTTCGAAGATATTGGATTTTAAAATAAAAAAGTAAATATTCAATTTGCATATTACTTGATGATCCTTGCAATTCTTTGTATAATATTTATATTTTTATATAACGTTTCTAACTGAAGTTTGTTACTCTAAAATCGTAAATGATAATGAAAGATGATAAAAAGTAAACATTTATCTCAGAATTCGAAGGTAAAATCTACTGTACCAGTCCGGAACTTTCTTTTCGGGCTTCGAGTCAAGTTCTACCTGCATGTCTTTCACTCTGATGGAACTGGCAAATCATCCCAAATATCAGAAATTAGCCAGGCAGGATATTAACCGGGCGATCGACAAGCATGGCTGGTCGTACGAAGCATTCCAGAATATGAAGTACCTCGATCAGACGATAGCCGAAGGTCTCAGGCTGCATCCACCCGTGTCCACCATCGACAGATACACTCATCAAGATTACAAGGTAAATCTGAAAGCCGATCATCAAAATATCAAAGATCTGTGATTGTAATTTCATGATATATTTTTTAATTTTGAGAATATACAAATTTTCGAATTTGTATAACATCGCAAATGAAGAATTTTCAAAAATTTATTCTTTTTAAATAACAGTAATGAAATATAAATAGAACTGCAAGAAGAGAATTTATCATATAAAAACTGTCCAAAAATTATTTAAAGTAAAAAGACAAGTAGAGAGAATGTTTTAAAATTCTCTCTGTTTAATTCTTTTTTCACTTTCTCTATTTCTTTAATCTCTTTGAAGAATTTTTGAACAAGATATGGTAAACTTTTAAAACATTTTTGCATACTTAAATATTGAATATACTGAGAACTTAAACGTAAACTTGAACTAAAAAAAAATTAGTTTTGCTCCTTATCAAATTTACTATCATGAAAATTTAATACGTCACACGTTAATGAGTTCAATATATTAACAAAAATATAAAATTCCAGATTCCTAATACTAATATCATCATTGAAAAAGGTACACCGATATACATCTCCTTATACGGACTTGGGGCAGATTCTAGATTCTGGGATGAACCGGAAATATACAACCCTGATAGATTTGCCGAAAGTAATCATATCACCGATGCCTATATACCATTTGGAATTGGTCCCAGGATGTGTGTAGGTAGGTGATAATATACATAAAAAGATAATAATACATAGCTTTTTTATTCTGTATGTTTTAAAATATACTGTGTCTTAAGATAAAAAATAGTATTAGTTCAAAATATATTTTAATAAAAATAACATTAATAATAAAAAATAAAAAATCAACGACTCATTGTCATTAAAGTTCATATTAAAGTAAATGAAATTCTTACCGATTATAAATGAAATTCTTACTGAAATCTCTTTTTGATTATATTATCTGATTATATTAATATAATCTGCTGTTATCATTGATAAGAAAAGCATTTTCACAATTATTTTTGATAAAAGTTTAATCTATAATCACTTAATTATGTAATAATGGAGTCATTTACTAAATTGGAATATAAAGATGATTCAGGATAAAGAAAACTATTTCAGAATAAAAAAAACCTAGAATATATACGATCGTGCGCCAGTAATTGTATATGTTAAAAACAATAATCTTTAATATTATAATTATATTAGTTTAATGACACGTCGTTTCTTTTAAACTTTTTTTTATTTGGAATTTTTTAAAGAGAAAATTAAATAAGATTATTGCCTCACTTGAACTTAGATTCATATCTTCTATACTATAAGATACGAATATTATCGTTTCGATTAGAATTTAATAATTGTTTTGTCATTAAAATCAATCTTTTATCGATTCATAGGAATGAAAGTAGGTCAGTTACATGCTAAAATTGTTTTGGCGTTGCTTCTACGCGATTATGAGATCTGGCAAACCAAAGACAACGAGAGTTATCTAGACCCCCGATCAACTTTCACGGCTGCGGGTAATGGAATTAATCTGCACTTCAGAAGGATTGTGCAAATGTAACATGTGTGCCGAATATAATTCTTCATTTGATTATAAAAAAATTAATCAATAAGAATGACAAGAATTATCTGATCCGTTTTCAAATACAGACTAAGTTCGAGCTTATATAACGAAAAATGATCATAAAGATGTATGTCGCATATAGAATTCATAATTCAGATAGAAAAATCTTTTTGATATGATTTTGATTGATTTTTAGTATAATTTTATAATGTATATATATGTTGTAAATTGTAAAAAGACGCTCACAGATGATTTTGTATATATGTAAGTTCGGATTAATATTTCTCCATTACCACTTTCTTGAATCTTGAATTATTAGATTACGATTTTATGCAAATTTTATATCGAATATGATTTATGAGAATTGCGCTTTATGTATATAAATATCATTAGTTGCCTGTTATCAATTAATTGTAGATTAAAAACGATTGTATCACACGCATTTGTATGTACACAGTACATACTATACATATGTACTTCAGTTATTATTAATGTTATTTATTTAATATTCACTGACAAACCCATTCGAAAAAATCAAATAAATAAATTGTATAACACAATTATAAAAAATCATAAAATGTGTGATATAATATTAATAAAAAGTATACAAAGTAAAGAGTATAGAAGTACAAAACTTCCTTACACTTTCTTCAGTTTTACTTTTTCTTATTATGTTGTTTATTATATTTTCGCTCTTTTTTATTATACTCATAAGAAGACTAATTGATGATCATAAAGGAGTAAATAGAAAAAATGGATAAATAAATAAAAATATTAAAATGCGATTTTTAAAACAATTATAAACAAATAATATAACTTTATCACGAAAAAACCACAAGCATTTTTGTTGTTAAAGTAATTTTATCTGTTTTGATTACTTTATTCTTTTTATCACTATTTTTATCACTCTTGAAAACAAAAAAATTGTTCAAATACGATAATTTTTCGCGGAGATACGCTTATTTGAATTTATGCGAAATTTTGATATTAATTACGTGTTGCGATAATTTTTCGAGTGTATATAAAAAAATATGTTTTCGAGTAAAATTTTTGTGATTAGATAAAAATGATCCGATAATATTATTTATACTTCACGAAAGAATCAATTGCAACTATCTCTGTATCCATATTACGCAGTGAAATTATCTTAAAATAACTGAATGCTGAACATATATCATAATAAGCTACTACGATATAAACAGAAGACATTTATAACGAGTGATTGTGTGTTAAAAGAATGCCTTTATAGTAACATATTTGTCTTCACTACTAATGAATGCTATTACTATAAACGCATTTTCTTCCTTCCTATTATCAAATGTATAATTTTTCTCTCACTATCTGCACATTATTAGATGTATAGATCGAATCATCGAATAGAATATACAAAAGATAACAACACTCCAGTATGGAAAAATGTGCTATTATTCAAGATGTAAATATGTTTTTTATATTTTTTGTTTGTAAAGAATCAAGTTCGAAGTTCAATCTTGAATCGTTCGCTCATTTCTGTTGCAATGTTTTTATAATTTTCTGTGACATCCAGTATATGAGAAAAAGATACTGTTATCCTTGATAAGTGACTCGTCAAATTGTAAATATTTATATAACAATCGTGTACATTTTTAATCTTTGTATATTTTTCATTTCTGTTTAGTTGCAGTCAGCATTTCAAACGAGTAACACGCAAGATTTACACGGTGTTTTTTTATTAAGTTTGTGCAAAATGGCAATATTAACTAACTGTATTCTCTCAGATGCGCTCTTAATATTCTCCTCACTTTTGGCAACGCTTTATTTTTGGCTAAAATGAAAACACTCCTATTGGCAAAGACGTGGTGTACGTACCTTACCTGCACATTGGTTCTTCGGTCATTTCAAAGACGCAATGCTTATGCGCAAACCAGCAGGTGTGGTCCTCGGCGAGCTGCATCGGCAAGCCGCGGATGAGGACGACGTAATCGGCATCTATATCCTGCACAAGCCGTTCCTGCTAGTGAGAAATCCGGAACTGATCAAGCAAATTATGATTAAGGACTTTCACGTATTTCAGAATCATCATTTCGATGGCAGAAGCACCTCCGACAAAGTTAGTAATTGGAGTCTCTTCACTGTTAAGAACCCCGAATGGAAGCACTTGAGGTAAACGACGCGTACTTGCATCATAGACTCAAAATATTTCATTATTTTATTTCGCTATTTGTTTAAAATTATTCTTATTATTTTGTTATTCTCAAATTTATCTCATTGTCAAGTTGAAAAACCAATCGTTTTTCGGTATAGTTTTATCAAAAGTCTTTGCTACACAGGACAAAAATGTCACCGGTATTTACGAGCGGTAAACTAAAGAGTATCTTCTTGCTTATGCAAGAGTCTGGGGAGATGATGAGAGAATATTTGCGTGATCAGTTCGCGAACGATTCCAAGATTGTGTCGATGCCTCTTAAGGACTTGTTCTATAAGTACACCACCGTTGTGATATCCTCCGTGGCGTTTGGAATTCGGACAAATTGTTTCGACACCCCGGCGCCAGAATTTTTCGAAAACTGCAAATAAAATATAAAAACATGTAAATAGAGAATCCTATTCTTTTTATGAATTTTAAATATTTAAAATGGATTTTATAAAGCCACAATTATGAAAAATTTAAAGATATCTATCAAGTTTAAAAATATCACGTTATATTATTATATCTAAAGCAAAAGTATCCTTCTTATTTCATACATGTTCTTTTTGTTTTCTCATTGATACAGCACGTAAGGCAATTCAAGCAACCTTCTTAAGGACCGTGCAATTCTTTCTCTTGTTCTTTTTGCCGGAAATTGGAAAGTATACGGGTAGCAAGATGCTCGGCGACTACACGGATTACTTCCGCAAGGTCTTTTGGGATTCTATGGACAATAGGAAAGTAACGAAGACAAAACGGGGAGATCTGATCGATTCTCTTTTGCAATTAAAAGATGAAAATTCAGACGATACTGGTTTCCGTGAGTATTCAACTAGAGTATACAATATATTTTACGATAATGAATAATATTAATCTGAATCTGATATGAAATAAATAAATTCAAAATTAATACTCACAAAATAAAGATCTGCTGTTCTCAGGATTCGAGGGCGATATCCTTCTCGCTCAAGCGGCGATCTTTTTCGTGGCTGGTCGCGAGACTAGCATCACCACTATGACCTACACCCTCTGCGAGTTGGCCAAACATCCGGAAATGCAGAAACGCGTCAGAGAAGAAATCCTCGAGAAGATCCAAGAAGCAAACGGTGTCACATATGAAGCGGTCCATAATATGAAATATCTGCATCAGTTGATGAACGAAACGTTAAGACTTTATCCGCCCGCGCCAGTCCTGGATAGAGTTCCCTTAGAGGATTATACGGTATGTATAATATTATATTAAATCGCTCTTTTTCTTTTAATGATAGATCTTTTAGCTAAATAGAAGTGTCAATAGAAGAAAATAATACAAAGAGAATAATACAATTGACAAAAATAAATTACAGTTACCCAATACAGAGATAACTATCGAGAAAGGGACACCGGTGTACGTCGCATTACGCGGTATTCAGAGTGATCCCAGGTATTACTCGGATCCTAAGCGTTTCGATCCTGAACGATTTAGCGACGAGAGGAAGGACGAGATTGTACCATGCACTTTCTTACCTTTCGGCGAAGGCCCACGAAATTGTATAGGTAGGTGAATCGTTGGCTATACAGGCGGATTTGGAATGGATTTGATAAAATGTAGAACTTGCTGCAGCAAATATTCTTCGATATCTATCAGTTGATAGATCTATTCATTTCATTTTATGTTTTTTATTACAATTCATTTATTACATCTGCAAAACAAAACCGATTAGCAAAATAATTAATTTTTTAAATATTTGACAAATATGCACAACTAAATTTTTTATATTATTTATAAAACAAATATATTAAGAGATCTATTGGGGTTTTAATTACCTGTTGTATATTATATTACGAAAAAAGTTCTGAATTCGCTTTTGCTCTTCCATTAAATTTTCGATCTTCTTCAGATTGATTTTCCTCTTGGTTATTAGGTACACGATTAGGAATGTTACAAACCGCTGTCGGGTTGATAGAGATTCTACGCGATTACGAGGTTTTTTTGAATCCTTCATGGATGTCTATTGTGGATCCGCGAAATGTGTTCACTACGCCACCCACAGGATTCCTGCTGGACTTGAAGAAGATATAATTAGTATTTATATTATTTACACCATATTATATTATTATACATATAAATTAATCGTATTACTCTCTCGTAATACTAATACTCTGATTTTAATGATATATTATTTTTTGTATGTTTTTTTTCAATGTTGAATCTAATTAATGAATATTTTATTTGAGAGGACATTGGAAGAATATTTTGTTCAAAGGATATGAATGTCTTACAAATCTAATTATCATAATCAAAAATAGTTCTATTAAAGTTATTTTATATAGTTTATATAATCGTAGCATTAATAATTATATACAATTTTCTTAATTCTATTTATATATTCTTTTCACTATCTGAAAAATAAGAATTTTTAACACTTATTCTTTTTACAAAGTAAATTAGAAAGATAAAAATAAATTCAATACACACAATTAAAATAATAGATATATAAATCAATCTATAGAGCAATCATTTGATTATTTTTTGTAAAAAGAAATTGTGTTAGCTTTATTTCAGGTTTTTTTAGCTATTTGTAGTCAAGTTTTACACCACTGAATTCACTATGTACACTATGCTGTGATCTACATATTATGCCGTTTTGTTTATATAAATTTAATTGTGATTATAATCCCGATTGGACTATTTAGGCAATAACGCCAGATATTTTTTGAATTCCGGAAGTACACAGTCCCGCGGATTGAGTGGTTCCACTGCCATCAGATAATCGCTGAGGTACTGCGGTAAGAAGCAGAGGATACCCTTGCTAGCCAACATAGCCCAGTCTACAGGCTGTTTCACCTGTGTTTATAATAATAATAAATCTTCTTTTTGCATAAATGAGCAGTTGCATATATAAATATATACCATGTACCATAATACAATAAGCATTTCTCTATTCAAATTTTAGTATTATATATATATATATATAATTATTTTTTCAATCATACATTGCACATAAATTAAATATTCATTATTTTAAAAATATTGAAGATATTATTAAAACGAAAAAAGCCATTAACTTTTAGCTATATCGCTATATTTAGTTTCGAGTAGTTTACTCTAGAAAATGTTTACCTGTTTCACATTGACGAAGCAGTGCGTGATTCTACGTCCAGACGAACTGGCATCATAGGGCGGTCTGCAATCAAATTGAAGATGTCACGATAATGTATAATAGAATTCTTTTTTTTTATAAATGTTGAACATTGATATTCACCTGGCTTGCGTAACCGAACCGCCACCAGCTTCGATCAATCTTTTAAACTGGTCGTACTTGTCTTCGGAGACCATTAACAGTGCCACCATGTCAGAAAATGGACCATTTGATTCATTCTGCAATCTCAGTCGCCACTTATAAGCTGCAGCTGCGATCGCTTGCTCAATCTCGCCGTTCGGTTCCGGGATCATACCTTTGCTCTTCGGATTGCCCCATTCATATTTTTCCTCCTAAAATTTATACGCATATGAGTATAGAAAATAATTGAGGATTGACAGAATGTAAAGAATTTGTTTGATCCCGATGATTTAAGAAACTTAACTGTATTATATTCGAAATTGGCGTTTTGTTTAAAGAATTAAAGAAGCAGTTGTCTATATTTTATTTTGTTCATAGATTTTAAATGTTATCATTAAAAATATCTTTAACTTAGTTTGACATAACATCGAATAACGTTTCTTCTTCTCAAAAGTTATCAATTACAAATTTGTTGCACTATCCAAAATATCTGATGATTAATTAGTATATTTAATTGTGCATTGATAAACATGATATCATACTTTTGCAATAAATGATTATCTCTTTCAACTTTCAATTTAAATTCGTTGAAAAAAAGTATTCTAAATTGATTGGAAAATATATTACCAAGTATTTTTCGATAAAGTATTATAGTATATAGCTGATAAATATAAATACTAAATATATCTAACAAATATAATAAAAATATACAAATATACTAACATCGAGGAATCTGCCTTCTTGTTCGCAATCACGTAAATATGAGCAATGTATGAGCCATTTTCCAGCAGCTATGCTACCAAGCATTTTCTCATTTCTGGAAAGCCTGATACATAAGAGATGCGTGGCGTTATTATCATATTTCGGATCCGTCGACACGTCTCCGCCGAGTTCTAATATCACTTGTTCGTATGCTTTCTTATCCTGTTAAAATACATTAAAGAGTAGTGAATCCAATATATTGAACTAAAACTAATTACATAACTCCTCGAAAATGTTATACCTTTATACCCGAGAGCATAAACCGTCGTATCATTGGTGGTTGATATTCAGTGATATCTTCTTCATTATGTTCCTCAGTCACATTGACATAAACATCTTCACTTGTTTGTTTGTTTAAACTTAACTGTAAATATAAATATAAAATATAGATTGGACAAATATAAAAGAATATTGAATAAAAATAAGGACATGTAAACTCGTATAACTCGTATAACATATATTATATTAGTAATAATTAGTGAAATCTATTCAACTTTAATTTGTTCTTAATCGAATTTTTACTATTGTATCAAATATCAAAAGTGTTATTTATTCATGTTGTATGTATATATATATATATATATATATATATATATATATATATATATATATACTATATATATATTTCATATTCTTGTCTTTCATTTTTATAGTTTTATAAGATATAAATTTTGTATTTATTCTATTTCAAGCATACAAACAATTAAATGCATGTGATGAGAACAGAGGATCTATTTTATTGTACAAAAATTACTTGGAAAAAATATGTAAGCTATTACATACCTGCTTTGGATGATTCGGATCCTCCCATACAATAGCGTCGATAGGTTGCGAATCTTTTATTATACCTGTATTTGTAAAATTATTAATCAATGAAAGAGAGAACAATACGAAATTAGAAACATCGATTCTGTAATCTGATAATATTCACGATAAGTACTCACATTTTTGTATGTCATCAGAAGTTTCCACGTCGTATTTATTTGTACTTTCTCCAGATATCGAGTATCTATTTTCAGAATTACGGGACGTTTGTTGAAGTATTTGATCCAACTTCGCTATTTGCCTATTTATACAAAATTCAAATTTAATTTCATCAATATAATATTATATTGTTATATTATAATTTATAATATATATTTTTATATATTATATTAATATTTAATATTTAAATATAATATTTATATAATATTTAAATTTTTTAATGTTATTTGTTTTATCTCTTATGTATTTTATGTTTTATGTTACTTTTATAATTATATTCTAATTATTCAGAATAATTAAAACGTACATGTTTATTTCATTACTCGACTTATTTGACACTGGACTACTTGCTTCGTCGAAGTCAAGTTTTCGGTTAATAGGCTCAGAAGCATAGGTTGATGGAGCATTTATATTAAATGGATCGGTTTCTTCCTCAGCAGCTTTTTCCGCAGGAGAATCATTCGATCTCATTATGGGTTCATTCGCTGCATCTCTCTGGCAAATTAAATATATAAAGTTAATCAAAGCAATCTTGATATTAAGATAAAAAAATGATACGATAATAAGAAACCAATTGCATTACTGTTAGATTTATTCTAGTGTCATTTCTACACGAAATAATGCATTAAGATTGCACGTGCGACTCTTAATAATATGTATTTATGTCTTACTTTTTCAGATTGACCCGCATTCTTCAATTTCTCCCACAGTTGTTTCTTCAAATCTGAGAGTGGCTGCAAATAAAATTCTTAATTTATAGCTTACTAATTTGAACACATAATCAGAAATCGTGAAAATCGTGATACTCACGGTGCTAGGTGCGCGTCGTTTTAACGGCGGTTCTGCTACTTGCAAATCCGGGAAATTGTCCACCCATTTAATCCACCCTTTTCTTGTGTCTGGGGAAGGATTAGATTTAAAAACTTGTCCATACGGAGTGTCTGGAGTGGACACATGAAACGGCGAATTCGGTGTCTGGTTCATTACAGAACTGAGTCTCTTGTTTATTAATGGAGTTTCTACAGTGAACATCTCCTGTAATGTTATCAAAATTGCAATCTTAAATATAAATTCTGTTGAAGCAAAACGGAAGCAGATCGTTTTAATATAAATAAGTTGAATTGTCTTGAGCATACTTGACTTGATATTATATATTTAATTTATATTGCACATATACACATATGTAATCACAGAGTATTATTAAATTAAATGTTATAAGATGAAACATCAATATATATATTATTGCAAATACCTTGACTTGAGGTAAATTACGCTTCGGTGTAAGGATGGTCCGTGTTGTGACCTCCTCTGGCAAATTTGTTTTATTTTCCTGAGCACTCGATGGAGTTTGGTTGAGAATTGTTTCGTTGCTTGTAGTATTCAATCTATCTGGCGCTTTTAATATACATATTAACATTATATATAAAAGCAATAATCAAGATGGAAATATAAATCAAGAAGATCAGAAACCTGTTCAAAAACTGAATATGTGTTCTATACTGAATCAAATATTCCAAAAAGAAAAATTTCAAAAAGAAATTTGAGAAAGGAAAAGGAGTAAAGCACGTGTAAAATGATTGATATGTAATATATGTATAAATCAATTTTTACCCATTGTTTCTCCGACAAGAAATGGAGTTTCATCTACGAGAGTTAATTGATCAGCGCAGGTCTTCAGCCAATCGGCGGTAACAGCCGGCAATTTCCATCTTACGGCTGCGTTATATTTATTTCCTTCCGGGGTTGGACAAACCAAATGTGTACTGCCATGCGTATTCTTCTCCGCGTTGGCTTTTCGTGCAAACATATCTTGACATCTGAAAATATCGAAAGACTATATATATTTTTTTTCGACTTGCTTGCTCATAGAATCACCCAACTTTCCGACTTTGTGTGCTCTTAATAACGCGAATTATTCTGCATGACTAGAGTCTGACGCATGATTATGATGTGACTAGTTATACGATCAAATTCCGAGTTTGAATTTATTAGTTACTCACTATGATGACTATCGATTCGCAAATATAGTTTTCACTCATGTATATATACTATACAGCTGAATTGTCTGCTAAAACGTAGTATAACTGAGAATATAGTTGTCACAATGAGTAGCAAAGCAGACTTTATAATCCATCTTAAGTAAAAATCTCGGAATTTTTGTTACAACAAAAATTATAATAGATTGATAATATACGTTACATGGCGCCAAGTTTCTTAGCCAATGCCGAAAGGTATATTCGTTCGGTTCCAGTATACATGCTCATCGTTATAACGCAGCCCGACAACGGACTGCAAGGTTTCCTAAGAGAGAATGGCTTGTGATAGTATTCAATATCAACGACTCGTTCCTGGTTTATGCAATCTTCCTGTTAACAGATTGAAAATTGACAATATTAATTATTTATTAATCATTAGTTATTAATGAGATATTACTCAAAAGAATGCATTATAGATTTATATACATCTTTATATACATATCTAAAAATATATATATTTAAAATTTTTATGGAAAAAACGAAAACTAAAATCTATCAAAAAACTTTTTTAAAGAGACATTAAAAGATACATACAATAAATAAATCGGTCACGATTTCATTGACTGTGTATTTCAAAGGTGCTCCTTGCAAAGGCACGACGCCATAATCTGGGATACCGCTGTATGTTTTTGAAACTACACGTCCACCCAACATTTCGATGGTTTCTTTCACGTTATTGTCTTCTTTATCGAAGTCGACCACAACAAATGTCAAGCCTGCGCATATCATTTTAATAAATAAGTATTATCACAATAAATAAATATTATCGTAGTTAAATCTATAAAATGCATCTGTTGATATCGTTGGTTTTTTTAAATTGATCCATAATGATATAAAAAAAATTTGTATAATATATAATTATTTTCAGAAAAAATATACTTTGTTTTATAAATAGTACTCTTCAATATTTCATCTCTTAAGGTGATCTCTTAATCAACAGTCATTAAGAAGCATTAGTTTCAATATTTGATTAGAGAATTTAATCACTTTATATGGCGCATATATAGGTATACATAAACATTTTATTTGCTTTTTAAAGTATAAAAATATGAAAATAAGAATATAAATCTTCAATCATACCTCTGAGTAACTTTTCATTTATTGTACAGCTTTGACTAAGCGGCACAGAACTGTCGTCGTTCGTATTTTTTATTTGCGTGGTATCCGATGAGCGAATTTCATTGGCGTTACTTGTATTAGCTGCATTTTTATCCTGCGAAATAGATATATGAAGCTTCGTGTATTCTTGCATCACGCCGCTGCAATCTGTAATTCAATTATTTGCAATTATAATGAGAAAGATCCATAAACATTTGCACAATTTTCATTTTCCCATTAATAATTATATTCTTTTCTAATTAATTAGCAATATATATAAAATACTCATGTAATGTGTATCGTAAATATATCATTAAAAGACGATTTGCATGATTACCGTTGGTTTTCTGTAGATATTGCTGCACGAGATCAGATTGCTGTTTCTCATTCGAAAGTGCAACTTCTTTTTCCAAATTAAAAAGTGGTATAGGTGGTCTCTTTGGTGGTTGCAACATTTGTAAATTCTAAAATAACATAGAAACGTTTACATTAGTTTTTGTCAACATATCAATTTATCAATGCAAAAAAATGCAGCAAAAGCGAAAATCTTATACAATATATATAATTTAATTTTTAATGAGAAATTTTACGACAATCTGAAGATAAATTTTAAATTACCATTAAATGTTTTTACCGACCTTTTGACTGAGTGGAGAAGCGGGTGTCTCAATATTTTTCTTAGGTGTTCCGCTATTTACTCCAAACAAAAAACGATCTTCCGGTGCGGGTCGTTTCAGTTTCATACTCTCTTCTAGCCATTCTATGTTCAATACATAAGGGCTACAAAAAACATATATGTATCAACAATTGTTAATATGAAAATGAACAAAACTAACTGATATGAAAAAAGTTTTAAATATTGACACATATTGACAAGTTATTATTCAAAGTTGTAATGAACAGGTTTTAAACTTGTGAAATTTAAAAAGCCCAAAGTTCTCATTAGATTCGAAATAAATGTTCTTTCTCGAAAATATATCTTTTAATTAAGAGAAATTGAAAATAAGAATTTGTTCTTAATAAACGTACAAACATAAGATATAGAAAATAAGAATATAATAAAGATAATAAAATTTTATATGTTAATGTACCTTAAACATTTCATTTTCATTGCTTTCAAGTTCATGGAGGCTTTACTCTCATCGCCAACAATTACGTGTGTCACAGCATCTGATATGTCATCGAAACGTGTTGCACCGCCTACATTTAATATTCTATTCAATTTGTCTTTGATATTTGTTGCAAATCCAGCGAGATAAATCTGCAAAAATAACACATTAATCGTAAAATTAAAGTAATAAAACAAATATAATAAACTAAAAAATTGTAAAGAAAGATTTACATTACATCCATCCAGAAATGGTCCAGCTGATTTTGCTTCACTAAAAGTGAGTCGGTTCAAAACGTTTAACATAGCATCTGTATAGAAAAAAGCACAAATACACTTCCATTTAAAATCGATATAAAAAATGCAAGAATTACATTAAGAAAATTTATTAATTAATACTCTTACTGTTAGAGAAATTATTAGGTACTGCATCTACAATAGAGAAATTTGATGTCGTATTATGAGTCTCGTTTATGTAATTATTCTGATACCTATCATGTGGTATAGAACTGATTTCAGAACAGTTTAACGTTTCTCGAGCTGCAAAAATATATAAAAAGCATACAATTTATTGTAATTTAAATATCCATTATCTTTATTATAAAACTAATAATAAATTAATATATTAATATATTATACTACAATCTTCAAAATATATATTTCTTTCTAATTATTCAAAATTTAAATTGATCAAACGTATTATAAGTAGTTTTACTATTCAATAATACTACAGCCTCTAATGTTATTATAATTATTCATTTAAAAAAATTCATTACATTAATGAGGTAAAAAATTATTAATTTAAAAAACAAAAAGAAAAAAAAGCGCAATAAATTGATTTCTAAGTTGTAAACTAACATTTTACTTATATTTTAACATAAATTATAATGACTGTCCATTAATATATTACATACTATACTTTTCCGGTGTTGAACAGGCTTTCATAGATTTGATAATAAAATTATGGAAAGGTAAAGCGTATCCTACTTTAATACTCTCATACACCCAATCAGGTTTTAAACAAGCGATATCATTTTCCATGGCGTACTTTAATTTATCGCTTATCGGGCCATTCGCGGAAGCTAAAACCACTCGAACTTTTGTTCCATCAAGAGGACCCATAAATGTCTACAAAACACAAATATAATTCAAATTACTTACTGATATGTTTTAGTCATAATTACGTAAGAGAGAGTTAACATTAAGACTTACTCCTCCATGATCATGTATCAAATGTTTAACTTCTTCTTTCTGACGTTTAGAAAGATTTGTCGAAGTAACTATTAGATTCTTAAAAACTGGACATTTGTATTTATCAAAAATCTTATCATTTGCTTGAACCATACTTTTCAAATTTGCTTCCCAAACAGCTTCTATCCATTCCTTTGTCATAATTGGTATCTTCATTTCTATAGCACACTTGAAAAGAACAGAGATTATATAGATATTGACATAGATTCCTAAATAATGTATTCAATTTCAAATAAATAATGTACACACACACCACACACTATTGCATTATAGGATTATATATCATAATTATTTAAATAACTGAATATTTTTTGTAAATATATTATATAAACCCAGATAATCACAGTAATTATTATGACATCATTTTGATGTCAAAATGCATCATTTGCCATCAAAATGATGTCATAATAATTACTGTGGCCCTCTGGGAATATATGCATACTTCGTATTTTGCAGACATTACAGAATCTGCTATTAAATGTGTAACAGAACTTCTTAATTGCTTTGTGAAGACACCTCCCATATATTCAATTCGTTGTTGTATCTGATTCTGCGAAAACAATTAAAACTTGAAATGACATATTGTGTGAAATAATTGAAATTTATTCATAGAAACTATTAAGATAATTGTACTTTAATTTCTGAACTTAAACCCGATGTGCAAATACACATGTTCCTCATAGAAGTTGTATATATCGGACTCCTTCCTTCAGGAATTGGTTCTCCATTTAGAAAACAAATAAGTAGGCACTTTGGTGATACTATTCTGCTAAAATATAAATATAAATTAGCAATAAATATAAACGTTTTTGTTCAGTTCTTTTGAATCATTTCATATATCATCAAAATAAGATATACATTCTCACATATTATAAAATAATAATTAATTATATATCTTAATTGTTATAACAGTAAAAATTAGTTCTTTGTATACTTACGAACACTTGAAATTTTTTAGCTTTTCAAATAAGATACCATTAAATTCTTCTATAATAAATACATCATTTTTTGATGGTTTCATCTGGTCACAAATCTTCTCGATAACCCAATTTGGTTCCAAGCCAAGTTCACTACATTTCTAATGTAAATATAATAAATCTTTTTATTAAAGAAATTGTTAAAATAAATGTTTGTATAATTCATTAGAGTAATTTAAAAATCTTATATAAAATATACATTAGATAATATAAATATTAATGAATAAAATAAATTGTAAAAAGGAATGTAGGATTCTCAATGAAGTGATACAATTAAGAAAGAGTCTTACATTTTAATTGCTTAAAGCCGTAATCAGACTAAAGATTGAGATTGAATTGCAATTTGACCAATCAAAGCAAAATTCATTGAATTTGAGTTTTCTTTCTTTTGAATGTCCAAATTTCTATACAATCTCAATCTGTAGTCTAATTATAGCTTAAGCTCCTTTTTGTTTCAGTTCAATATAAAATCCAAATTTCAATAATAAAAGTCAATCAAACATTCATTAAAGATGCTAAATTATTGCCAGTTTGGTCGACTTTTACTATTGAAATTTGGACTAGTTACTACTGGCAATCTTCACAGTTTATTTGTCAATATAAAAAAAAGTGATAAAAAGAAACAAATTTAAAAATATTGGAGCAAGTAAATTTCGCTTCTGTATTATATATTAAAGAAACAATATATAGGGAGGAAAATAGAAATATATACGAACATTATAGGCCAGCCACATTTCCTCGCTACAATCATTTTCGGACTCCAGATGATTCGGAATGACAAAATGAATGTTTACGTCGCAATCGACTTGACTTTCCTGTGTCATCATCATTTTGAGTTCTGTTTTAGCTAAAATTACACGCGAGACTAGTGTTGGAGATGAAATAAACACAAAACGTGAAGATATACATAAAATGGAGTTGCACTCCAAGCATACTGCACTAATGTTCGCCGAAAAACATGCAAAAATCCGATACACTTTCTTGTCACATATTTGGCACACATATGAAGAAAACAGATGCGAACGACCAATGTACTAGTCGTCTAGTCTTCTATTTTGGCTGCGGAGCACAAGCTCAAACACAAACACCACTAAAGTGATGACGACCGGTGTACATTGGCGGGATCATAGATTATGTAAAATACATAGATGGGCATAGCTGCAAGAAATTTGTATAGAAATATGTAAATAAAATTATATAATATCTTTTTTACAAAAATTACATACATAAATCTTCGCAAAATGTCATAAAAATCTCGTCAGATGTCAAGCATATTTATAAGTTCCTTTCACAAATTTTTGACAAACTCAAAATACTTACTTTATTTTAATTTTAATTACACTTATCGTTTTCTTAGCCAATCTAGCATAAAAAGTAGTACGAGAGTGATTAAAAATAATTTATCAATTTTTTTATAAACAACCATATCATAAATACAATTGCAAATTTCCGTACGAATTTTCAAATATTCAACAGGTGATATGTCGCGGCATGACTTTTGGAAAACTGCAATTCGTCAGATCACCTTTTCAATTAACGAAATTTCCCTAGGCTACGCGAAACGTCATTGGTCGGTCGCACGGTCGCCGCGTGTGAACGGGCCTTAAGGCTGTCATCGGGCGCTCCCGGCGTCGCGTCGCCGAGCGCGGCCGAGCGCGGCCGAGGACGGCCGAGCGAGCGCAGGCGGCGCTCGGCGGTGATTGGCCGGTCAGTCTCATCTCGGCCGGGCATGCGCGTGCACGCAGGTTTAAGTTGACGCTTCAACGTCGTCCAAACACGCTCGCCGAGCGACGCGGTGCATCGCGCCGAGCAAGACGAGTCTCGTGGCTTCGGGGTCGGTTGCAGGCGACACTCCGTCAGTACGCGGACGACAGGGAGGATCAGCAAACTCGCGCGGAACCTCTCGTGCTCGAACGATCGGACGCGTGATTCCGAGTGTCGCGACGAAGTTCCGACGAAATCCCGCCGAAGCGGAATTTAACGGTGTTGTGTTTGCCAGGTGTTGCCAGGTGTTACCAGGTGAATGTGCGAGCGTTTACGTCGCGAATCTTCCCGAGGGGCGAGGAAGAAATCGACGAGGTGAGTGGTATCTCGCGAGGAATCTTCTCTATACGCTGCGAAGTTTGCGTTTAATGTTTGCGCTGTGAAGTTAGGCGCGTATTTGAATCGAGAACGACGCGAATCGAACTCGATCAGAGAGGGAGAAATATCAGTGATCTCGTCGATCTTCGCGTCGGTTAAACGCCGAGAAGAACAAGAATGGTGAATGGCGATCGAAGGTGAATGAGAGGAGGACGGTTCGATCGCGATCGATATCGAGATCCCTCTCCGTGTCTACGGATTCTCACGGACGTGGGTAAGGGAAGGAAGAGAAAGGAAGGGAGACTCGCGTCGCTTTTCGAGGAATGCGCTCGTCCCGGTGGATCCGTGAGAATTGTTTTCCCGAGAAAAAGAGTGCAAAAAAGTGTTATTATGCGGCGCGAGTTTTATATCATTCTACGACGCGTTCGTCCTAGTTGCGCGTTCCTTCGTTAGAACAGTTGAACGCGTATTTCGACACGTTCGACGGAGAGAGGGTAAGAGGGAGGGGAAGGTGAGGTGAATAGGTGAAGCGAGTGTATCGCGCGGAATGCGAGACGCGAGTGTACGTGAAACGAAGACGCGCCGCGGTTCGCCGCGATTGGCGTAACTCGCGTCACGCTCCTTCCGGAACTCCTTACACACGGCGGACCACGAAGAAGCGAAGGTGAGGTGCAGGCGCGGACGGTGAAGAAAGAGGAATAGTGGAGGGAGCGAGGTCAACGGCGCGCAACGGTGTGGCAAGAGGATGGAGCGGCGACCGGCGACGACCTCCGCGAGGACGCGCAGCCTCCTTGCCGGCCTTTGCCTCGTCTGGATCATCGGCAGCATCTGTGCCACCGGTAAGTCCTGAGAGCATCATCTATATCTCTTCATTTTTTATTTCATTTTTTGCGGCTCCTCTTATTACGATAACCACCTGCGTTCGAAAAAGTTTTGATATACGTGAAGACTTGAATCAGATTTTTCGAGTCTTTGAAACAGGGTTGGGTAAGTTAATGATTTTTTTTTAGTTGCTTACGAAATTAATTTAGTTAAGTTAAAAGTTGCATGAACAAAAAATTAATTTAGTTTAAGTTAAGATTAAATTAACTGAAGTTAAATCAAAGTAAAGTTAATTTTTAAAAACATTTATATTAAATGTAATTAGAATTTTGTTTGTTAATTCTTTTAGGATTTATATATAATAACAAATAACAAAGAAATTTTGATTTTTATATGTAGAAATATATTTTTGGTAATTACAATTGATGACAAATTAACATAAAAATTAATAATACTTTAATTTTAAAATAATACGTTTATGACTTATATAAAAACAATACTGGTATTCAGAGATAAACAAATTTACCTTGTTTGTCCTTGTTGTGTTGTTTTTATCTGAATGTTTTTGTCTGAAGTTTGATTTTTTTAAATTTCGTTATCTCTCAAACGCAAAAAAAGTTAATAAGTTTAAGGTCAAAAATAACTAGTTAAAGTTAAAAATTAATACAATTTAAATTAACTAAGCTAAGTTAAAAATTATTAACTTTTTAACTATTTTTTTAACTTTGAACTAATTAGTTATTACCCAACCCTGCTTTGAAATATGGATGCGAATAATTTATTTGCGTTGATTATATAAATAATTTTTTTTTAATGTTAAAAATAAATGACGTTTTCAAACGCAATGCCGATTGTTAGGAAAATTTTGATAGACGAAGGACATGAGATATTATTTTACTGAGGCTGTTCTTGAAAATTTTTTCGAGAATTGAAATAGAAAATTGTGACGAAACGAAAGAAAAGGGACGAAGGAGAGCAAAGAAGATTCAAGGCCAATAGATCCTCTGGTCTGGGCATCGAACATCTGCCTTGGATCATTTTTCTTTCTCTATCTCTTGCTTTGTATACCATTCGCTTTAAAGGATTCTCAAGTGTCGTATGTTTTATAATATTGCAGTATAAATAAATCCGATGACTGATGAAATTTTCTTAGAAACATCTAATGTGATATGACTCAAATATACAAGAAATTAATGTTTACAAAATAGGGGAGTTAAAGAGAAAATTTGAACAAATCTACAATTCAAGTAACTGCATTAAAGGCTGCAGGCTTTTTAAAAAAAAACAGACTGAAATTTATTCAAGGATAATAATTTCAATAATAATATTATCAAAATTTTTCTATTTTAATTAAATAAGTAAAATATTTAAGAAAAATATTAATTAGACTATTATTAGTAGATATTTGAAGGTATTCATAATATTTAAAAATATTTTATTAAACATAAAATAATTATAACAAATATTGTTACATATAAATATATATAAGTATGATTTAATTTATAATTTCTCTACTTATTTATTAAGAAAATGATATTCGTTGAAGAAAATATATATATATATATAAATATTATTTACTAAAAAGATAATCCAGTTTATGTAAACACATTAGTAGATACTATATATGTGAACTAGCTATGTCGCACGTGACTCGCACGGTGATTACTTCTCAATAAACGTCATTAGAAATCCCCCGATGGACCAACGTGTCGAGGGAAAATCTGCGAAATCTCCCCTGCACAGCGGTCGAGTGTGGCGTAGGAGCGACCCTAATTGAGATTTATTACGACGTTAATCCGGAGCAATTGTGCGAACGAAGTTAAACCGTTGACCTCTCGTCTCGATTGTCAGGGAGGATGGCTGTGAGCACGTGCCGCACGAGGACAATTCCGAATTAACCCTTTCCATTCATTTTTCGTTCGCGTTTCATCTCACGTTTGATGTCAAAAATATATAATATGCGCGCAATAAAAATTCAATAAATAGATGCAAAATATATTTCCGCGAAGCTGTGCACGGAGATTTTCTGTTAGAATTTACCTTTAAATCTTGGTAATTATAGGACAATATTGGGAGGATTTTATAAGAGTTTCTCTGATTAAAATATTTACCACAATAAAAATAAAAATATTAGTATTATCAGTTCGGTTAATTTTACTATATGTACATATTATTTTTTTTTTATTATGGTACATATTAATCAAAGAAGCTCTTTAAAATTCATTCAATACCATATATTGTCTCACGATTACCACGATTCCAGGGCAAATTCTAAGAGAAAATTCTCTACGTGTAGATTAAACATGGTATATGATGAGAGAGAATTATAGTTTTATATTATAGAACTCGAATTAAGATAAAATAGTAAAACAAAATTAAACGAGGTGGGAGGGAGCAAACGGAAGCTGTGCGCGAGAAATATTTTACATTAAAATTTCCTCGACGTTCAGAGTTGCTCGAAAAGCCGAATTTTAAGACGACTGAGAGTGTCAAATAGTTTGATCATTGATTTAGACTCGAAATGCAGAAATTGATTAAATCTTCTACTTTGAATTATTTGAATTTCTTTTGTTCCGAATTTAAAAGTCGCTCGTGCCATTCCGGTTTTTCTTTATACATACAGAAGCAAAAAAAAGAAGAAAAAGCAAAAACAATGTCTTCATTTTGCTTCTGGCACGCGCTTCTCCGTCGTAAAATAAGGACAGACAGACCGGCATTGATTAAATTTCCCTTAAACAACGTCGAGCATTGATACCGGTCGGCTAACAGATAAAGGGTGATAAGAGTCGCGACAGAAGAGCTTCGTTCTTTACCAAATCCCATATTCTATTTTTCTGTCTCGTCGACAGAATATAAATTCTCGCTCCGTAGTCGGTCTTGTTTGATGAAACTCGTGATAACCGCAGAAAACCGCGAAATATCCAAAATATTCTCACAGGCTACATATGCATGTACATGCATCGAAACGTAGAATATGATATATAATAAAATAAAATAATTAATATTAAAATTAATATTAATATTTCGATCATTATATTAAATATTTATATGTAAATTAATATATAATTATAATTATATAAATAATTACATATAATTATAATTATATATATAATAAAATAAAAATAATTAAAATTAATTAATGAAAGGCTCGTATAATTTAACAAAATTAAACAAATCATATATAGTAGGCCAACTGAACGAGCAAATAAATAAGGTGTAAAATTTTTATTAATAGTTAAATAATTAAATTAACATTTCGTTACAGAATCGATATAAATTGTAAACGTTTCGACTGCACTACAGTCTTTATCAATACATAAAAGTTAAATATTAAAATACAAAGTTAAATGTTAAAAATACAAAGTTAGTTAAATATTAAAATATAAAATTGAAACGATTCTTCGCTGTTGACCAATAGATATGCAAGGCGATTGGTCTGAGATGCCAAGTTATGCGACATTTGAGCATGCTACGGATATAATACGCGAATTAAATCAATGTCAGAGAAAATTAAAAAATCTTTCAACTTACATTATCGTTTTAACAAGTCCTTTTCCCCGATATTTCAAGTGTGTGTTGCGAAGTCTGAATACCAAATGTCAAAATAGAGAGCGTGATGTATTTATTTATTACCAATGTTTTTTCTAAATTATGATTCAGCAAATTTTTTAAGTATGTCAAAATAACTACTGTCTAACAATTCGGTGTCTGTATTTAAATTAATTCCATTTTTCTGTTCTTTAATGTGGATCATGTCAGATATTAGTCTTTTATGGTAGTTCTTTTCGTGATCCATAATTTTAATATTGTCCCAGTCAAATGTATGTTGTTCGTTTAGAATGTGTTCTGTGACAACCGAATGTCTAGCAGAGTCTAATTTAATATTATTTTATGTTCTTTAAGTCTCGTTCCTAACTGTCTTTTTGTCTGTCCGACATATGTGGCGTCACAATCGTTGCAATTCAATTTATAAATAACATTAGAATTCGCGGGGCAATTATTTTTGTCCTTTTGAACTTTTATGAAGTCATTCAATTTTTTAATGCAACGATATCCTACCACTACGTCAGGTCTTCTTATTGCTGAAGCAACTTTCTCAGATATTGATTCTATATAAGGTATGACAAAATATTTAATGTTAGTATTAGTATTATTGGTATCTGTTATATTGTTATTATTAGGCTTGTTAAATTTCTTAGTTGAGAGATTTTTTAATCTGCGTTTTATTTCTGTGAAAATTAGATCAAGAGGATAACCGTTGGATAGCAAAATGTTAATAGCTTTCTCTATATTTTTTTTGTGAAATTGCGGATGTGATAGTAATAAAGCTCTATCTACCAAGTTATAAATTGTTCCTATTTTATGACAAGTCGGATGATTTGAAAAAAATGAAAGTAATCTACCTGAGAATGTCTTTTTGTGATACCAATCTAAATAAATTTTATTATCTATTACTTTGATCATTATGTCTAAAAAGCTTATACAACGATTATCCTCTTTTTCCAATGTAAATTGTAGTCTATCGTTATAATTGTTGAATTCGTTCAAAACATATGTAATATTGTCAGCGGAAGTGCATAAAATAATGTCGTCTACATAACGGAAATAGAAAGTCATTTCGCAATTTAAATTACTAATTACCAATGTTTCCAAGTCCTGCATGACTATATCGGCAATGATCGGAGAAAGTGGGGAACCCATAGGAGTCCCATAAATTTGTTTGTAAGTTATGTTATTAAAAGTGAAAAATGTAGAAGTTAGTATAAATTTTATTATACCTATGAATTCATTTTTGGGAATCTTTGTGTGTGACTCTATAAAATGCCATCTATTATTGATACCGTTTAATGCAAGATCTACGGAAACATTAGTAAATAATGAAACAACGTCCAATGAAACTATTATGTCGGTATCTTGTATTGTTTTCCCTGATAGAAACTTTGTATTTTAATATTTAACTTTATGTATTGATAAAGACTGTAGTGCAGTCGAAACGTTTACAATTTATATCGATTCT